GGTAAACCGTGAAAACATTATTAAAGATAAAATCACTGAACACTTAGAGGGACAAGCACGATGAAAAGAAATTCAATATGGCTTCCACTAGGAGAAGCCTTGTCTCAGTAGCAGGGGTTGGACCCACTGGCTTTCGTGGCCCCATCCAACGCTACTATTCTATGACTAGTCTTGAAATTCTTTGAGAGTGTCAATAAGCATGAGAACAGGGGCAATCCAATAGACACGGTTTACTTGGACTTCCAAAAGGCTTTAGAGCAAACCAAGCAGTCATGGAATGGGGGGGGGGGTGTCCTCTTATGGACCACTAACTGGAACCTTGGTTCCAACAGAGCAAAGCTCAGGGAACCCAGGTTCCATTTAGATGCCAGGAAGCACTTCCTGACAGGACCCCGAGGGGGTGGAATGGGCTTCCACGAGAGGTGGTTGAGACCCCAACCCAGGGTGTTTAAGGATAGGCTGGACATGCACGTGGTGGACATGGCATAAGCGGAGCTGGCTGGAGCCGGGGGTCAGACTAGATGGCCTGGCTCACCTTCTGACTAGCTCTGTTTCTATGTTTCTATGTTAATGAACAGAAGACAGAGGGTGGGAATAAATGGCAACTTCTCCCAGCAGAGAGATGTCATCAGGGGAGTCATACAGGACTCTGTATTAGGACCAATACTTTTCAACCAATTCATAAATGATCTAGTATTAGGCATAAGCATGAAGTGGGCAGGTTGCGGATGCCACCAAACTATTTAGGGTTGGGGTTAGATCCACAAGGAATTCTGAGGCATTCCAAAGGGATCTCTCCAAACTGGGAGGATGAGTGACAAAATTGCAAATGCAGTTCCACTTGGACTATTCAGCTTAGAAAAAAAGGCAAGTAAGGGGAGGTGTATTTTGACAGAGATGTTCAAAATAATGCATGGTGTGGAGAAGGAGGCATTTTTCTCCCTCTCCCATAACACTCAAACCCAGCATCACCCCATGAAGCTGACAGGTGGCAGGTTGTGGAAGATCGAAGGAAGGACTTCTTCACACAGCAGTTGCGTCTCCACTGCTCTTCGCCTTTCTTTCTCATCTTGAGGGGGTCACTCTCTGTTCTGGTGCTCGTGCCTTTTCTTCTGGCAAGGCAACTCGGTGGCACTTGTTGCATGTGCAGAGCATGTTACTCTCAGATAAGAAAACAAACATCTCACAGATGCTGCAGGTCACCACAACTGTGGAGACTTCTAGAGCCACTGTTCATGCTAGTTTTGTGACTGTGTCTTGGGGAACAGTTGTGACAACTGGTGCTTTCTCCTGTTTCCACTAATGGTTAACAACACAGTCCTGCTAGTAAATGGGAGTGTGTTACAGAGAGGAAAACAAGTGTGGGGGAAACTAAGGGGAAAGGCAGAAGAGAAAAGAAGAGGGGAGAGATCAGAGACCTCCCTCGCTGAACCCCACCAGCAAATTCCTGTTTGCTTTCCCTGGAGCTCTGCTGCTTGCATCCCAGAGACCCCAGACCAGGGCCTGCTCCGCTCCCTCTGCCCTGCTGGGAGTCAGAAACCAGAATGAGTCCCCCTGCACCCACAACTGCTGCCGGCTGATCAGGCCACCCCCCTTCAGTGAATCAGCAATCGGCTAACTTGGAACTTCCCCTCAGTTCCATTTTAGAAAACAAAAGGCTGCTTGCTGCACCAGCGCAAGCCTGGTTCTGCTTTGCCTCTTCCACGCAACTGCCTCCAAACTGTTTTCTCTCCTTGTTTGCTCCCTGGACACTCGGCTGTTTGTATCCTAGGGGCCACAGACCAGCTGGGGCAGCTTGCTCTAATCTGCTCTCCTACGCAAGAGGTCAGGAACCAGAATTTTTTCTTCTTTGGATCTTTTTCTGGATCTTTTTGAGATCTTTGTTAGTTGTCCCATGAGGTACACCTGCCCTTTTTCTATGGACAGAAACAGGAATAGTCCGGATAGAAGCATGTATTCATACTGCTTGTGCCCTATATTGGCTGAAGCTATCATCTAGGAAGGACTCAGGAATGCCAGAAAAAAAATATTAGAACAACTGCAAACAGCCCAAAGCTCCTCTGTAAATTCTACAAGTTATATTCTGTATGCCTATAGGATCAATATAAATACTTTACCCTCTATTTGTTCAAACAGTGTTAAACTACTGCTTAAACAAAGGATCCATCTATTTTTTCAGTGCCATGACTTGTTTTACACTACTCGAATGCCATTCTCAATTTGGTATCCATTATGCAAAATAACATTTGAGCTGGAGTTTTACTGTTCAGTTCTTACTGTTGCCCCTTTAAGAATATCTTTTCTAGCCTTCTGATTCCAGTGTATGCCCTCTGTGTACCTGGATGGGAGATATCACAATATCCAGATTCACCAACGATGCTGTACCTGTGACTTGGGTGAAGTTGAGGACATGGAACACTACCTACTTCACTGCCCACTATATGCTGATCCAAGGTATAGATTCCACCATTGTATCATCAATTCTCTATTAAATAGACCTTTGTTGGGTAACAAGGCAATTATGCATGCATTCTGAACCAAGTTGCAAAGTAAGCTGCTAGAAAAATAAGGGCTAGGCAGCACCCTGCAGTTTGATATTAATTTTATGGATAAGGATTATTTTATTTGTTCCCAGGAATGGCTGTGTGAGTTTACTTAGGTTGTGCAATTATTATAATTCTACTAGAATTTTATGGTTCTTCATGTTTTATAACTTTTGTACTGGAAATTGGTCTGCATCTTATTCTCTTTTTCAAATTTGTAGCGGCCTGTGGCTAAGAGCAATAAAGACACACAGTACACACTATCCTTCCCATAGTGCTCAAGTGAAAACTTAACTTTTTTCTTTGTAAACATTAAGATTGTTGTTGATTATTTATATTGTGTTTATAAAGAGCGTTCTCTATGAAGTGGCACAGAGACCTTTCCAGTGCAATGTCTGTTTGCATAGACCACTCACAATTTGGTGCAACCACACCCACAGCAAGCTGTTAGAAGCGATCAGTACATCACACAGTCAGCTCTGGCCCACTACAAACCACACCCCAACATACGCAACACTTTGCCCTATACGTAAGAAGGCATCAAGCCACCTGAGAATAAGCTATTTTGCCTTGTGTGTGATGTTGCTGTCCTTATGCGCCATCAAATTATTGCCGACTTCTGGCAATCCTATAAATGAAAGGCTCACTGCACTGCGTCCACTTCTGGGCTCCACATTAGAGGAGAAACACAACTAGCTTAACATTGGTTCAGCACAGTGTCACAAGAATGGTAGCCAGGTTGGGAGGATGAGGAGAGATTGAGAGAACTGGGTCTCTTCAGCCTGGAGGAGACTCGGAGGGGGACTTTTAGTGACGTATCAGTATGTGAGGGGATGACATGCAGAGGAGGGTTGTGACCTGTTCCTCTTGCAGTGGAGGGCAGGATATGTTGCAATGGGGCGAAGCTCAAGGAACCAGGCTTCAGGTGGGATGTTGGGAAGTTCTTCCTGACGGTTAGGACCCCTAGGATATGGGATGGGCTTCCAAGGGAGGTGCTAGAGGCACCATCAGTGAGGGTGTTTATGGAAACATTGGACAACCACGTTGGACATCACATGAGCAGAGCTGGCCAGAGCTGGGGGTCAGACTAGATGACACATGAGGCCCCTTCTGATTCACTTTGTTTCTGTGTTTCTCTGGAGTCACTCCATCTCATATTTGGTCCTCCTTTGCTGCTTCTGCCTTCAACTTTCCCTAGCATGATTGTCTTCTCCAGTGAGTCTCACCTACTCCTGCTATGTCCAAGGTATAGAAACCTGTCCAGGGTTCACAAAGCTCTCCTCCAGCACCAACTTTTGAATGTATCATCTTTTTTCCCTGTCAGCTTTCTTCAGTTCTCACACCCAGACATAGTGCTCAGGAATGCAGCGCTGTTGGCTGTGGTTTCCAGTGAAACATCCTCACGCTTGATCTTTTCTAGGTCCTTCTCTGCTTATTTCCAAGTCTCAGTCTCCTTCAAATGTCTTGGCAAAGTCTCCCTTTGAATTAATGATTGAAACAAGGTGTGCAAACACTTTCACAATGCCAGTTTCTTAACTGTTGACAGTAAAGTGCTGTAATGCTTCTGTAGTCATGATGGAAGAGATTCCATGTAGCCATAGAAAGAGGAGGCTCTGAGGGGACCTTCTGGCAACATGTAGGTACCTGAGGGGATGTCAGGTGGAGGTGGGTCAAGACCTGTTTTCCCCTGTGGAGGAGGGCATGGAATGGGCTTCCACGGGAGGTGGCTGAAGCCCCATCCGTGAAGGTGTTCAAGGATAGGATGGACAGGCATATGGTAGGCAAGTCATGAGCAGAGCCAGCTGGAGCCAGAGGGTCACATAAGATGGTCCAGGAGGCCCCTTCTGACTTGCTCTGTTTCTATTATTTTGGCTTTAATATTAATTGTACATTTAAGTAACATTAAAACTTAACATTCTGCTGCAGTTCAGCACTTGCACTGTCTTCTTTCACTTTCAGTAGGGTGTGGGTGTAGATTTTACCTGGGTGGAACATCCATTTGTGAGAAGTCTGGGAAGACATGTCCTATAGAGGATACATTCCAGGGTATGAAAAAACATGATCTGGGGTGGTCCAAAGCTTATAGGGGAGGGTGCAACCCCAGTTCCTTATTCCCCATTACTGGGGTTCATCACGGATTAGCATGTGTTGCGCAAACAGAACCGCCCTGCTTGGACAGCGCACACGCTCCTAGAATGGAGGCTATATAGCAAGGGGACGGCATAGAAAAACTTGAACTAAATAAATAAAATCGGGGAAGAGCGGAGATGGCAGGGGGCGAGGCGGCCAAGGCCCAGCTCGCCGCTCTGTGCGAGAGCCCAAACCCCACCCAGGCCGGGTGCTCGGTTCCCGAAGCCCGTCCGCAAACCGCTTCCTGACGCGCGAGCCCATCATCCTGCGCCCGGCATCAGCGAGAACAGCCCTCGATCCCCGCCTCCGGCCCCGCCTCGCCCCACGCGGGACTCTTAAAGGGCGAGCCCGACGGGGAAGCGGCCCGGAGAGTCGAGCGGCGGCGGCGGGCAGGTGAGCTCCCGGCAGCGGCTCCCCTCCCCCCGCACGGCCCGGGCGGAGAAAGGCCGCCTCGCCTCGCCTCGCCTCGCCTCGCGTCTCCGGCGCCCCTCTCGGCCGCGCAGCTGCCCGGCCCGTCTCTGGCGCCGGCGCCCGCTTCCGAGGCCTCGGGCCACGGGGCGGGGAGCGCCCCGCCGAGGCCCGCTGTCTCCCGGCGGGGCGGCCGAGGCTGCCCCGGCGCCTCGCAGCCCCGCGTCTCTGCTGCGGGCCGCTCCGGGCTGGCGCAGCCGGCCGCCGGACGGGAGGCCCCTAGCGCCGCCGCAGGGCCGAGCCCGGGGCCATCGGCGCGGCGGGGCCGCAGGCGCGAGGGGCGCCCCGTCCGCCGGTCCCCGTCCGCGCGGGGCCTGCGGGCAGGGCCGCCTTAAGGCGTGGGCCGGATGGGCGCTTGCCCGGGGCCCCACACTAATCTGCGGGTGTTAACCCTTGGACAGTGGAAAACTTCCCAAATTAGCAGGAGTTGCCGGGGCCCGTAGTGCTGTTCAGGCGCCCTGCTCGTTACGCCAGAGCATCGACCGTCCGGCGGTGTCCCAACTTCGTTATAGGGAAAGCTAGTTTCTGCGGAGGGTTTCGGCACCTCAGCAATTTGGGAGGCCTGTAAAGTAGCTGGATGGGCCTTTTACTGCCTAGAACTGGGCGAAGTGGACGCTTGGGAGGCGTGGAGGGGAGATGGGAGCTCCGCATTCTTTTGCTGACCTTCAGACTAGTCCAGAGAAGGAAGCACAGGGCAACCAGGTTAAAATTTAATGGTCCGTGCTGGTGTGTCTCTTTCAGACATCGGGTCCAGAGGACACAGGGCTTGCCAGGGGGGAATCCCTAATTGCTCACCTGAGTGCAAGGCCTCCCTGTTCTCACCTGTTGCAGAGGATTCCTCGGCCTTACAAAATGTCCCTCCCTCCCTCTTTCCCTCTCTCTCTCTCTCTCTTAGCTTTTTGCTTTTAATCACCTCTATTGTGTTTGTGTTGGAAGAGGTTAGAAACAAGCAGTGTGATCCCTACATGACATTGCTCCAAGGACTTGTACATTCCTTCCATGTGGGGCTTGTAAAAAGCAGGGAAACCTCTCAGGTACCGCTGCTTTGCTATTGCCGGTTCCAGGTCCCTGTGTGCACCACTGGGTACTGAACTTTGCTTGTGGGGTAGGCATGTGGCTTTGGAGTATCTCAGCTTGTCTGTTACATGAGAGATGTTTCTAGTCCCTATTTAAATTTGAATGATACAAGCTTGCCACTGGCCTTGCAACTGGAGCATGGCTGTGTGCAGGACCTCCTCCGATTGGGCCCTTATCTCATCCCACAGCTTGGTCTCCACCTGCTCTGTACACACCAACACCCCTCTTGTCTGCTCAGTTCTTTATGAAATAGAACATTAAAAGCATCCTTGTTACCTGCTTAAGGAGTTTGGGTATAGTGCCTCTTCTCCTTGGCAACCTGAGGCCAAAGGGAAGTGGGGGGGGGTTATATGGCAGCAGCTGCCGCCTCTTGGGGGTGGAATGGGGGGATCGCCAGCTTACTGGTGTTTGTCAGTCCTATTCCTTGTCTCCTTACTCCCTGCCACTAGACCCCCGTGCAGGATGGCATCAACAAAGCTGCGTGTGGCCGTGATTGGGGCAGGGGCTGCTGGACTCTGTGCTGCCCGGCACCTACTTGCCTCCCCTGACACTTTCGCCCCTCCTGTGGTGTTTGAGGGCTCCAGCCGTCTCGGGGGCACCTGGGTTTACACGGAGGAGACTGGGGAGGACGCTTGGGGATGGACCATCCACTCCAGCATGTACCATGACCTCAGGTAGGCACTGCAGCCCATTCCACTTCTAGACCACCTTATAGCTGCAGCTCTGCACAGTTCACAGCAATTCATAAAAACATGGAGCGTTGTGCCTTTCATGACCCATGGCTGCTCCTCCCCCTGAGAGGAATTGTGCTTGTGCCACCATCCCTGTCTGCCTGGGGGCTCCCTATTGAGCAGGGAGAGGAGGGGCAGGGCTCAGGGGCTCAATGAGGCTTTATTTATTTATTTATTTATTTATTTATTTATTTAAAATATTTTTATGTCGACCTATTCGCAAAAAGCCTCAGGATGGCTTACAGTATAAAATATAACATAAATAAATTCCTGACCCACACTGGCTGCAGTTAAAAACATAGAAAAGACAATATTAAAACTTATTAAAATATAGCTGGAATAAAAAGGTCTTAACCTGGCGCTGAAAAACAAAGATGGTGCCAGGCGGACCTCTCTGGGGAGCGCATTCCATTGATGGGGTGCCACCGCAGAGAAGGCCCTCCTCCGGGTACTTTGCCTCCTGATGTCTTTCACGGAGGGCTCCCGGAGGAGGGCCTCTGCTGCCAACCTCAAGGGGCGGGAGGGCAAATATGGAAGCAGGCGTTCCTTCAGGAATCCAGGCATTCCTCCCCACTGCCCTTGCTCCTAGGACTAACCTGCCCAAGGAAGTGATGGCCTTTCCTGATTTCCCCTTCGACCCTTCACTGCCATCGTTCCTGCACCACTCGGATGTGCTGAGCTACTTGGAGAGCTACGCAGAGCACTTTGGCATCCAGGACAACATCCGGGTGAGAGGCAGGGTGGGGCTTGGGAACAGGACGTGGGGGAGGATGAGGCCATGCACCCACCCCTTTGGCTGCTGGGACGCGTCTGCTTTCGATGAAAAGTCAATAGTACCTGAGCGCATGAGAGAAAGAGTGGCTTCTTTTTCTTTTGCCCTGGAATAACCACACTTGGCATCTGTACATCCAGGGCTGCAGGGAGATGGGCTTCCAAGCAGGGGTTGCCTACCAACTTAATTTAGAAACAGAGAGTTGCTCTTTAAGAGTTTGAATAGCTTTACTCATAATAAAGAGGAACATGGCAGACTCCTTGAAGTTGTGACCTTTCAGAGCTGTAGATCTGCTGGGTATCAGCAGGCCCAGGACTTCTCCACACAGAAAGGGTTCTCTGTTGTATGAATCCAGGGGCCTGATTCAGCCAAGGCACTTCAGATTCCAGGACAGGAAGAAATAAAACCACTTGAGTGAAAGATAATGTATAGTTTATTGATTAGTGTTGACATTTGGAAGCAGCTTATCAATAAATAAGTCAAGGAAAAGTGCACAAGCGCCCCTGTGGTTGAAAGACCCGGGAGCAACGGATGTGGCTCCCGGGGCACGTGGCTGGCTGCACCGACCCTTGCATGTGCCTTGCCCCAGAAGAAGCCACGAGGCAGCAATTCTTAACAAGGTAAAAATGTTCTAGCTCTCTCCTGAAATTCTAGGAGCTGCCAGCCAGGGAGAAGAGGGAGGCTAGGCTGCCCTAGTTAATTTAAGCAGACAGGTGTGTCGACATCCTTATACCAAGGATGAGGAAAGGAAATCGGTGCCCTCATTAGCCTGCAAGCTTCACACAGCAGCTAAACTTCGCACATATTTGTTGTTTCTCCTATTGTTATTACACTGCATCTATATCGTGTCTTTTCCCTCTTGTGAGGAGCCCAGAGCAGCTTGCAGGGATCCACTTCACCCTCACAACAACAGCTCTGTGAGGTAGGCTGGGCTGAGAGTAAGTGGCACCCAAAGGGCTTCGTGGCTGAGTGGGGACCAGAATCAAGGTCTCCCAGGTCCCCAGTCCAACACTTCAGCCTACCCAAGGGTCTGCACTGGCCACTGTGCACAGTGGACGCTAACCCCTCATCACAGGCCCCCTGGTTATCTGCCCCAGTGCACTTGCCTACTGCGGGGTCAGCACTGAGTGCCTGCCGTGCCTGCGCGGCTCCGCCAGCTCACCTGTTCTTCTCCCTGCCTCCCCCTCAAGTTCCACTGGCAGGTAGAAGAGGTCAGGCCGGGGCAGAAAGGCCAGACTGGCAGCCCTTGTGGCTGGGATGTCACAGCCGTCCTGCGGGCTCCAGATTCAGCCCAGCGAGTCACAGAACACTTCGATGCGGTCCTGGTTTGCACTGGGTGAGTCCTGCTTGACCTGGCGGGAGGGAGAGCAGCTCTGGCACCATAGTCCTTGCTCTTTGCTTTGTGAAGTTCCAGGCCCAGGAGGGATGGGGGGAAAGCAATGGCCGTCCGAGGATGCTGCCACGCCATCCCCCATAGCCAGGAAGGGAAGGCTGGTATATTCCTTGATGCCACTGCAGCGTGGGTGGGTGAGGAGGACGTAGGCTGTGATGCTGGGCCTGTTCTTGCCCTCCAGCTGATGCCTTGACTGCCCTGTTTCTGCAGGCACTATGCCAGCCCGTTTCTCCCTGCCATCCCTGGCCTGGACAGTTTCCAAGGTAAGGGCTGGATCCCAGCCACCAAGAAAGAAAGGGGGGCCATGTTCCCACCATGGCCAGTCAGTCCCAGGAGGGCCATCTCCTTACCCCCCCCACCACCCCATGGATGTTCCCAGGGTGGCTGCCACACCAAAAGGCCAGTGGGAGGCTCTCCGTCATGCTACGAGCCATTGTCAGACCTCTGTCCTTCATGCTTATTCCAACCCAATTGGAAACTGGAAGTCACCACTGCAGCCATTGACTCCTTCATGTGTGAAGAACTTGCATTTCTCTGACCTGAATCTTAAGCCAATCCATTTTCATAGAACAGTGAATCAGAAGGGGCCAGAAAGCCAATGAGTCCAACCCCCTCTCAGTACAGGACTCTCAGTTTAACCATCCCTCTCAGATGGCTGTCCAGTTGCATCTGAAATGTCTCTAACCCACAACCTACCTAGGCCACTGGTTCCATTGTCATACTGCTCTAGCACTCAGGCAATGTTTCCTGGTATCTAGTCAGAATCTGCCTTTCTGTAACTTGAGACCATTATTCCATGTCCGGCACTCTGGGAGGATCGAAAGGAGGCCCCTGACCTTCCTCTGTGTGGCAGCCTTCCCAGTACCTGCAAGGTGCTTGTCATAGCAGTCTTCTCCAGGCTAAATATGCCCAGTTCCTTCCATCTCTTCGCATAGGGCCTTGTTTCCAGACCCTGGATTGTCCTTGCCGCCCTCCTCTGGGCCCTTTCCAGCTTGACTGCATCTTTGCTAAATTGGGGTGCCTGAACTGGACAGGTGAGGCCTCACCAGTGCTGAGTAAAGAGGAACTAGTACTTGGGAAGCAATACTTCTGTCAATGCAGCCTAAGAAAGCATTTGCCCCCTTTGCAGCCACATCACATTGTCGACTCATCTTCAGCTTGTGATCTACAAGAATTCCAAGATCCTTCTCACTGGCAGTATTGTTGAGCCAGGTATTCCCCATCTTGTAATGGTGCATTTGGTTTCTTTTTCCTAGGTGCAGAACTTGGCTCTTGTCCCTACTGAATTCCATTCTCTTGTTTTCAGCCCAGCACTCCAACCTATCAAGATCACCTTGAATCTTCTTTCTGTCTTCCAGGGTATTTGCTATCCCACTAAGATTTATGTCACCTGCAGAATTGATCATTGTGTCCTGCACTTCCTCATCCCAAATATTGATGACAACGTTGAAGAGCACTAGTACCCCACTTGCTACCTCTCCCCAGTTTGAGAAGGTGTCAGTGATGAGCATTCTTTGAGCCTTTCTATAGCCAGCTGCTAATCAGGAGCTTTGCTAAATTCAAGATAAATTATGGTCACAACATTCCCACAGTCCATCAGGGAGGCTCCCCAGTCAAAAAATGAAATCAGGTTCATTAGGTATGCAGTCAGCAGGATTCATTCAGTCAGCAGAATGCATTATAATGCATTCATTATAAATGCATGTTGGCTTCTAGTAATCCCTGCATGGTTTTCAAGGTGTTTGCTTTATAATTTCCTCCAGAATTTTCCCAGGGATTGGTGTCAGACTGACTTGTTTGTAGTTTCCAAGTTCTTCTCTCTTGAAGACGGGCAATATTAGCCCTTCTCCAGTCCTCTGGCACTTCTCATGTCCTGCATGATTTTGCAAAGATAATAGACAGTGATTCTCAGAGTTCTTCCGCCAGCATTAGCATGAAGTTCATTGAGCCCTGGAGAGTTGAACTTATTTAACCCAATTAGATAATCAACGATCATTTGCTTATCAATCTTGAGCTGCCATCCTGGTACATCAGCTTGTACATCCCCTTCTTCAGGAAGGCCATAGATCTTTCTGGTGATGCATGCAGGCACAAATGACATAGCCAGGCAGGGTGTGGGCGGGACCACCGGGGACTTCAAGGCCTTGGGGAAGAAACACAGGGACCTGAAGGCCCAAGTGGCCTTCTCATCCATCTTGCCGGTCCAGGGATTTGGGCCAGGCAGGGACAGGAGGGTCTCCGAGGTGAACGACTGGCTCAGGGTGTTGTGCCAGAAGGAACACTTCAGGTTCCTCAACCACAGCACCTGGTTTCTTGCCAGTAGACTTCTGGCAAGGGACGGTTTGCACCTCACGAGGATAGGGAAAAGGTCCTTTGGAGATGCTCTAGCGAGCTTCGTCCGGAAGACTTTAAACTGAGTGGGGGAGGGGGGTTCAGGCCCCCCAGTAACATGTCTGCACTGGACAAGTGTGGGGGGAGGATCAGGGCTCTGGGAGCAGGGTTTTAGAGGTACTGCAGGGGCTGACAGGACTTTTACAGAGAGAGCCCAGGTATCAGGGAAGATGGGAGGAAGGAGGTGCATGTGCACCAATGCTAGGAGCATGGGTAATAAGCAGGAAGAGCTTGAAGCTCCCCTGGGAATAGGAGGGTATGACCTGGTGGGAATCACAGAAACTTGGTGGGATGAAAGGCAAGACTGGAATGTAAACACAGAGGGGTATCACCTGTTTAGAAAGGACAGGAAGGGAAAGAGAGGTGGGGGCGTGGCTTTATACGTCAGGGAAGGGATAGGATGCAGTAAGATAGAATGCAGCACAGATGGGGATTCGGTAGAGGCAGTCTGGATGAAACTTAGGGGTTTTGACACTGAAAGAGACCTGACAGTGGGGGTATGTTATCGCCCTCCAGGTCAACTTGAGACCCTGAATGATGTCCTGACAGGTCAGATTCTAAGGATATCTCGTGGGAGAGACACAGTAATTATGGGAGATTTCAATCTCCCGGATATTAGTTGGGAGACTCACTTGGCGGTGACAGCCAGGTCACGTCATTTCCTAGAAGCTATAGAGGGAGGGTTTTTCACACAGAGGGTCTGAGAGGCGACAAGGGGGGGACATCCTTGACTTGGACTTGGCCAACAGGGAGAAGCTGATAGATGAGGTACAGATTAGGGGAGCTCTGGATGCGAGTGATCACTCCATCCTTTGCTTTGAGATCAGGGGACTGGGGACGTGCAGCAGGTTGAGCACTAGAAACTGGGACTTCAAGAGGGCCAACTGAAGGCCAGACTGGGGAAAGTCTCCTGGGATAGGTTACTGGAAGGCAAGCAAGTTGAGGAGGGGTGGATGGCACTCAAAAGGGAGGTTTTGGAGGCGCAAGCCTTGAAGATACCTCTAGTTAGTAAGGTGGGGAGTCAAAGGAGAGTGCCGCCATGGATGCGAAAGGAGGTGGTTAGAGGGTTTAGACACAAGAGGAACCTCTGTAGGAAATGGGTACTGGGGCAAATAGACAAAAGGTTATACCGGGGGGAGGAGGCCCGTTGCAGAAGGATTCTTTGCAAGGCTAAGGTTGATTACGAGCTGAGACTTGCAAAGAATATCAAGAGCAACAAAAAGGGCTTCTTTCAGCATGTAAATAGGAAGAGGAAGGGGAGACAAGTGGTGGGAACACTAAATAATGAGGAAGGAGATCCAGTGGCTGATATGAGGGAAGAAGCACAGATGCTAGATGACTATTTTGCCTCTGTGTTCTCCCCAGAGCAGGACAGGGGAGATCTGCAAGGGAGATTAGATGAGGCTGGGGACTTAGGGGCACAGATTAGCATCACCTCCCTAGAAGTCGAGGAGCTCCTCAGGGCATTGGATGTTACAAAGGCGCCAGACCCTGATGGCGAGAGTACTTCAAGAGTTGGCAGGGGTTCCCTCATGCCCACTGGCCTCCATTTTTGAGGCTTCATGGAGAACAGGTGAAGTTCCAGAGGACTGGAGGGTGGCGTCAGTGGTCCCAATGTTCAAAAAGGGTAGTAGAAGGGACATGGGGAATTACAGATCAGTTAGCCTTGTGTCCATTGTAGGAAAAACAATGGAAAGGCTCATAATAGCAAGAGATCTAGGGATGCTAGATAGGGAAGGGAGGCCGGCGGCCACACAACACTGGTTCCACAATAACAGGTCCTGCCAGGCAGCCCTTGTGGAAGTCTATGACAAGGTTTCAAGGTGGCTAGATGGAGGGGATGCAGTGGATGTGGTTTACCTGGATTTCAGCAAGGCCTTTGGCAAAGTGCCGATGATGTTTTATTTATCTATTTATTTATAAAAATTGTATGCCATCCATTACTTGCGTCTCTGGACAGCTTACAACATAAATCAGAATAAAATAGATAAATTGACTATTCCATGCTGGTGTATATCCTGGTTGAGAAACAGGAGTTTTGGGATAGACCAAAGCACTGTCCGATGGATTAGGGCATGGTTGACTGACCGAAAGTACAGGGTAACTATTAGTGAGGAATCATTGGGATGGCGGCCAGTGACAAGTGGGGTCCCCCAGGGTTCTGTCCTGGGGCTGATCCTGTTTAATCTTTTCATCAATGACATGGAAGAAGAGATGAACAGTCTGCTGATCAAATTCGCAGACGACACTAAAACTGGAGCAGTGGCCACAACTGAGGAGCAGGTACTCCAGATCCAAAAGGATCTGGACAGACTATGGAAGTGGGCAGGAGACAACAGGATGGCGTTCAGTGTGGAGAAGTGCAAGGTCTTGCACTTGGGGCATAGGAATAGTTGTCATAAGTACAGGTTAGGTGACAAGTGGCTGGAGAGCAGCACTTGTGAAAGGGACCTCAGGGTACTGGTTGCCTGAAGGCTAAACATGAGTCAGCAGTGTGATATGGTGGTTGAGTGAACGCCACCCTTGGTTGCATAGCCACAAGTGTGGCTTCTAGATCAAGAGAGGTATTACTACCACTCTATATATAGACTCTGGTATGCTCACAACTGGAGTATTGTGTTCGGTTTTGGGCCCCTCATTACAGAAAGGATATAGCCAGGTTGGAGTCAGTGCAGTGTAGGGCCACAAGGTTGGTGGCCGGTTTGCAGGGGATGCCGTATGAGGCAAGACTGAGGGAACTGGGTCTCTTCAGCCTGGAGGAGACTCAGAGGGGATATGTTGGCGACATACAGGTATGTGAGGGGATGTCACATGGAGATGAGTAGAGACCTGTTCTCCCCTGCAGAGGAAGGCAGGACACGCTCCAATGGAGCAAAGCTCAGGGAGCCAAGGCTCCATTTGGATGCCAGGAAGCACTTCCTGACAGTCAGGACCCTGAGGGTGTGGATTGGGCTTCCATGAGAGGTCGTTGAGGTCCCTTCGGTGTGGGTGTTCAAGGATAGGCTGGACGTGCACATGGTGGGCATGTCGTGAGCGGAGCCGGCTGGAGCTGGGAGTCAGTATAGATGGCCAGGGAGGCCCCTTCTAACTCGCGCTGTTTTTGTTTCCTCTTTTGGGAATAGACTGAGCCAAAGTAGGAATTGAGCACTTCTACCTTTTGTCATCTCTTATCATTTTGCCCTCCGCATTGAGTAGCTGAACCCCAATTTCTTTACTCTATATTCTTCCTTTGTAGCCTGACCTTTCTTCCACTTCCTTTACATGTCCTTTTTGTTTGCAGATCATCTTTAAGCTTTTTGTGAAGCTAAATGAGCTTCTTCTGTTTGTCTTCTAATCTTTTTCCTTGCTGGAATTGTTTGTCATTGTGCCTTTGGAATTTCCTTTTTAAAAAATTCCAGCCTTCTGAGACTCCTTTTCTCATTAGAGCCACTTGCCATGGGACTTTACTTACCATTGTTCTGAGTTTATTAAAATGGGCTTTCTGGAAATGCAGGATACATATTTGGCTACATGTGGCTTTTGCTTCCTTTAGAATCAAGAATTCAATTATGGCATGGTCACTTTCCTCCACAGTTCCTGTAGCTGCCACTTTCCCAATTAGGTCTAGTCAAGGATTGTCATTCCTCTTGTTCCTTCCTCCCCTTTCTGTTGGAGGAAGTTATCCACAACACATTTAGAAATTTGGTCGGTTCTGTTGGTGACTCTCCCAGCTGTACTGCTATGTATGAGAAAGACTTTGGAAAGAGAGACAGCCTGGTTTTAAGGACCATTGTCATGTCAGCTCCATCCAGGAGAGTGCAGGATTTCTTGGGACTCAAGAGTGGTCCCAGGAGCCCAAAATCTCTATCCAGACTCCAAATTAAGCAAAGAAAGAAAATGCTTCCCTGCCACCAAATCACATGAGCAGCTGGTACCCCCCCCCCCCCCCGCATTCCCAGTTTGCTAACTCACAACTAAATCACTTTCCTCTGCTCCCTGCATCCCCCTGGAGTTCTGTGGCCCTGTTTCCAGGCTCTTCTGGTGCCCCCTTTGTCTCTTCTCCCCACACATGGACTCTAAAAAGAGGGCTAAACAGGAGATGACATTGATAAATGTGGTTCTCTGAACTTCCTTGCAAGCAACCATGGAGGCACCCCCTTGAAGGGAGCTTCAGCCGAGCTGGCTTCCTCTTCTGAGGCTTGGCCACGGGACACAGCTCCTGCTTGCCACGCAGAAGGCCCTCACTTGACCCCCAGCAGTGTCTCCAGACAGGGCTGGGGAAATGGGCTGAGACGCTGTGGGGCTGCCGCCACCAGGCAGAACCAACAATGGACCAAGGCAGAGCAGGCTCATCACAGGGCAGTTCCTTGGTCCCCATGATCATGACAAGGCAGCCTTTTCCTAGCAGCTGTGCTGTCCCATGGGGTTTCACGCATAGGTTGGCCTTTGTGGGAGGGTCTGGGGGCCTGCAGCAGTCTGGATGAGCTTGGAAGCCTTCCTGGCTGGCTGCTGGGTTTTCTCTTTCTGCCTTCCCTAGTGGGGTCCCACTGAGGGTCTGCCCTGGAGCTTCTGTGCCCCACATGCAGGGACCATGGCAGGTCCTCCGATGAGCTGGAACGCCTGCTGAGTGTTGCGAGCTGGTCAAGGGTCAATCAGGGCAGCAGCTGGGTTGGGAGGTGCTTTACTCAGCAGGCACGCCTGGCGCAGCGGGAGTGGGGGGGCACCGCCACCCCCCAGCTGCCACTTGCTGACTCCCTGTCTTCTCCCCTCTCCAGGCCACCTCCTGCATAGCCACAGCTACCGCCACCCTGAGCCCTTTGCTGGCCAGTCGGTGGTGCTGGTGGGTGCTGGCTCGTCAGGGGTTGACCTCGCCCTGGAGCTGCTTCCCCTGGCTGCCCGCGTCATGCTGAGCCATCACGGGCCTCCCGTGTCCGGGCTGCCTGAAGACGTGCAGCAGGTGCCTCTGCTCTCCCAAGTGGCCCAGAAGGCGGTGGTGTGCAGCGATGGCTCAGTGCTGCAGGCAGACACCTTGATCCTGTGCACCGGCTACCGGTACCACTTCCCCTTCCTGGACTTGGCCCAGCTAGGCTTGCAGGAGACAGACTACGGGGTGGGCCCCCTGTACCTGCACTTGCTGCCTCCACAGCACCCTTCGCTGCTCTTCCTTGGCCTCTGCCAGCGTATCTGCCCCTTCCCCCACTTCCACTGCCAGGCGCGCTTTGCCGTGGCCGTGCTGGCTGGACGTTGCCCCCTTCCCTCTGCAGCTGCCATGGAGGCGGATGCCCAGGCGCAGCTGGAGCAGCACTTGAGGAGCGGTGGGCTGGCCCGGCACTTCCTGTGGCTCAAGGACCAGCAGTGGAGCTATGCAGATGAGCTGGCTCAGAAGGCAGGATTCCCCCCTCTGCCACCTGCTGTCAGAGGGATCTACGAAGCTGTATGTGCCAGCCGGGCCCGTGACCTGGCCACTTACCGCAGCCAGAACTATAAGCTGCTGGGAGCCAGTGCCTGGGAGCTGGTGTAAGGGTCTGGCAGGGGCTGGGCCGAGGGTGGAGTGAGGCCTTCATCCCCCCAGAGCAGTGGCTCCCCTTTTGTGGGGTTCCTCTGAGAACCAGGGTCATTTGTGGCAGTGGCGGCAGCATGGCTGCTGGCCGAGAAAACACAGCAGTCTTCCTGGAGACACTTGATCAAAGTGCTTCTCTGGGCGAGGATTTGAGGCAGCCCCTGAAGTGGGTGTGGAGACCCTTTTTCACTAAAGGCTGAGAGGCAGGCAGGCCCAGGGCACTGCAGCAAGCTGCTTGCGGGGGGGGGGGATTCTGACCAGGACCCCCCCAGTCCTGAAGCAGTGCCTTCTCACAAGCACAGCGCTCCGCCCCAGTGTCATGCCCCAGTCCATCCCGCAAGCCGGGAGGAATTGCTAACGCAGAGCAGTCACCCAGGTGCACACAGGCCCTGCTCAGACACAGCAAGCCTGCTCTAGCCTGCCCCGTTTGCTCCCCAGGAACTGCTGTTCAGCCGTGTGGAGGCTTCCTGGCTTCTTCCCAGGGTGGTTGCTCTGCTCGAAAGCACCACCTTAGCCACATCTTGCAGCAGCTAGCTCCAATGCACGGTGGGAAGGAGAGGCCCCTTTTGATGTGCACCTGCTGCCAGTCGGTTTCACTGGGTCACCCTGCTTGAATTTTAGCATTTAGTGGGAGGGAGACGTGTCTGTGTCCCTGAACTCCTGTTCTTTGCTCAGTGTGCTGCTCAAGGAGAGGGGCAGCCATGGGGCCCAGGTGCCATGAATGTCTCGCTGGCCCTCTGTGTTGGTGGGGATCTGGCTTCACATCCCACGCATCAGGACAGTGCCTCCACCATGGTCTTCAAAGCCTGCTGCTAGAAATGTTCTGCCATAGAAATAAAAGCGCAACAATATGTGGTCGTCTTGCAACTGCATCTGTTCCCGTTTTAATCCACTCCTTGCTCCCGAGACAGATTGCTGCTGCCTAGAATCTCCAGGGTATTTGATCAAGGGCTTGCCACAGGCAAGTTAGTGCGGATCCCAGAGCTGCATGGCCCTGAGCCACGGCCTCCATGGACTCAGCTCCATCTTCCTAGGCTCCACGTGCTTCCAGGTCACCCAGGCTCCTGGGCAGGCAAAAGTGGTCTGGCCTCCTGGAAGGCTGTTCTTGCAGGCTTGGGAACCAAAGGGCTCTCACTTAGTGGCCCTGGTGAAAGGGTCTGAAGGCTGACTTGGCAACAAAGGAAGCAAGCTGGACACAGTCCAAGGGGGGGGGGGGAGGCTTTGCAGCCCCACTTAACCAAGGGCAGCCAGAGAATTGTTTGAGGTCACTCAGGTGCAGCCTTCCTCTTGCCCCTGCAGTCTTTCCCAGCTGACTCCCAGGACCCCTCACAGACCCCTAAAATGAGGTGCAGCTGTACCACCAATCCAGATCACAAAGGCCTCCCCCAGGGCCTTCCCATTTTGAGACTGGGTTGTTCATGCACAAGGGCATAGCGGAAGCAGGCAGTGCTGTGCTGGCGAGGCTGGCCAAGCAGCTCTGCTTCTTTCAGTGTGGCTGCAGGAGGATCGAGCACTGGAAAACCTGTGGCAAAATCCCATCGGGATCCAGCACAGGCAGGGCGACGACTCTGGTTTGCAAGTCACGCACCCCAAGGACCGACTTGAATGCAAGTGATTTTCACGTGGAGTTGGGTCTCTTTCCTGGTTCCCATCAAACTGAAACCACTGCATTGTGCAGACAGTAAACACACACACACACGTGTGCACACCCCCCCCCCTTGCTATGACTACCATGACACAAAAGCAGGCACACGAGGCACACCTCTTCAGGGATTGTCACAATGTTTACATGTGCTGTTACGTGCAGAGCGCCAGCTTATACCTTGCTTCTGCTTCTTGTTCTGGGCGCACACAGCAGGAGTCGGCCTGTCCTCCCACGTCAGCTTATTCAGGGGCCTCTGATGGAAGGCTTTGTCTCCGCCGTTGCACCCCCTCCACAGCCCCTCAGGCCCTTTCAGGGTGGGCCAGGGAAATGCAGCCTCATCTGAGCCCACAATTCCTAATAGTTCTGAAAGCAAAACTTAACCAGCTCTGCTCTTGGCTCATCACAGGTAGTAGAGGGAATGGAGTGCCTTGAGCTGAGCTAGAAAGAATGAGCTGCACCAGCAATTTATAGCAAAATAGGCCTTTTCACATAAGTTATAGAAAGTGGTCAACACTGCAGGTGGGATTCACAACACGTGGCCTGGAATTGACAGGATGCCTCTCTTCACAGTTCACACACGCTCCCAAGGAGCCACGTCACTTCCATCTGCAGAAGTGGCAGTGCCTGCCAGTCAGGAAAGCTCCCATACGGTGATTCAGCCGTGTTCCCAAGGCCAACTGCCATGGGGAGACCAGAGTCCCGCAGGCCCGGAGAAGGGGCTTGGCCAGGCCTCCTCTGCCTCCTGCACGCACACACCCACTGCAGCTGCTGCTGCCCTCTCCTAGTGGTTGCTCCTGGCTGGATACCGCAGCTTAGCCTCCTGTAAAAAGCTCTGGAAAGCAGGTTCTTCATGGCTCTTCTCAGTCACTACAGCAGGACACACAAGAGACCTCCTGGCAAACTGGGGCCCACGAAAACCTCTGGGGCCCAGAATGCCTTCTCGTAGCAGACCTCCCCAGCCCGCCCACTCTTCTAATTCTGTTAAGTATTAGCATCAACTCTACCGCAGATCTGCCAAGATCCCCGTAAATGGGCACGACTCAATAACCTGCATATTGGGGCAGGGAACAGTTCCGAAGAAGCGGGATCACTCCATCCGTAACACCTCTTCCCCAGCTGGGAGAAGCCCACACAACAAAGCTGGGTTTCTAAGCTGGAAGCAGCAGCCCTTGAACTGGTGCCTTGGCAAGGGTGACTTCATGTACCCCTTGAGGATGGTGTGGGGCACATGAGCTAGCAGGCATTAAGAATGCTCTCCGTTATCGCCAGTCACTGACCAGCGGGAAGAGCAGAGCTGGCTCACGGAGCATCCCCTGGGGAGGTTCAGTGGGCCAGCTGGCAGGCCAGGCTGACCACTGGCCCAGCAGCTCTTCATCCCAGTTGTGAATGAGCACAGCTCCCCGCCCGCAACCATTCATAAGCTGCTCCTGGGCTTTGAGCCTCCCCTACCGTCATGGTCGATGTCATCAGCATCGCTCTCTTGGCCCCCATCCTGCCCCTCTTCCTCCTCCAAAGTGCCTCGTGTCAGAATCAGTGCTGAGGGGCCCAGTGAAGACTCCGCTGTCGAGCCTAGGAACGAGAGCCAGGTGGCTGCCAATCCCGTCTTGCCCATGGTGACCCCTCAGCCTCCTGGGGGCCTCCAGCTCTGCACACTGCGGGGGACCTTTGCGGGCACGGCTCTGGCACAGGCACACCGTGGGGGGCTGGCAAGCACGGCATGCAGGGCGACGCTGCTGCAGCAGGAACCACGTCCACCCCAAGGCACCGTACGAGGCCCTCCCACTCCACTGGCGCCCACCTGCTCTGCCAGCACCCCTCCCTTCCCCATGAAGGCCCAGCTGCCCTTGGGGCCAGCTCTCTCCCTGGCATTTGCTACACAGTAGCTGAAAAGCAGCGATGGCCGAGGAAGCCAGATCGCCAGCTGCCTCCGCCTCTCTAGGTGCTGCCACCCGTTTCTCAAGGATGCCGCCAAACCACACAGCCATAGCTCTTTCATACCGGACGCTGCTGGGCTGCCATCCATGGCCAGGGGCCCCATGTCATGCTGCAGACGCACCAGCTGCTCCCGCTGCCGCTGGCTTTGAACTTTTTCCTGCAATCAAAGAAATGCCGCCTTTCTGCCTGCTTGGCTCAGCAAGGGGCCACCTCACCTCTGCCTCTGTCCAAGCAACACCCCCATTGTTCGCGAGAAGCCAGGGGGCCCCCCTGAGCCTTACCATGGCTGCAAGGACAAGTGGGAGGTGAGGCCGACGCAACACGCTTGGGCCTGCCAGAAGGAGCTGGCAATAAAGACCCACACCTCACAGAGGGCAGCGCAAGACTCACCCGCTTCTTCCTGAGGCGCTCATACTCCGGGCGGTACTCTCTGCAGGGAGGGAAAGGAGTGAGCTCCATGCACGTCACTGTGGGCAACCTGACTCAGGCTCTGGCCACCAGCCAGCAGCTTTGGGACCCAGGGGTGCTCCTTGTGTGGCCAGCAGCACTGCAGGGAAACAAGCATCACGAGCAGGAGCTGACCGGCACCCGCCATGGGAAAGGAGCTCCTCCGGCGGGCCCCATAGCGGCACAAACGGCAAGGGATGCGCACCGGTCTCACCAAAGGCCCCTGCCCTGCCCAAGAGGACTCACTGGATGGGGCAGACAAGCAGTGCCAGGGCCATATGGGGCACCATATGGGGCGAACAAACAGCCCCAGGCCTCAGGCCAACATGAAGAAGAGGCTTCTAAATCACGGCTATGCCGGACAACTGATGTGAGCTCCCCACAAGCAACCAGAGGAACTACCAGCCAGGGGCGCCAGACAGCCCCCTGTTCAGGCTACACCTGGACAGTAGCTGCCCGAGGACTCACCGTTCATATTCATCCACAGCTTTGGACACATGTTCAAAAAATTCATCCAGCCCTGTTCCCTGGACAGCAGAGACACCTACCACCTGCAAGAGAAAGTCCCTCACTTTCAGCAGGGAATGTGCGAGTGGAAACTGAGGGCAAGATGAAGGCTGCCTCCGAAAGGAGAGTGGGGCTTCTGAACACACCCGTCCCTTCTTTCCCCCGTATCTAGCAACACATCACACGCTCAGGATATAGTGGGCAGAACTCTGCCAAACACCCTGTAGTCACCCTCTCTTAAAGGCATTTTAAAAACTCATCTGTTTACAATGGATTGTAGTTGAAGTGTGTGCTGGAAAAACGTTTTGCCACAGCTTGAAAATAGCTTTGTATTGGTATTAATATTTAAAGTGCAAAAGATACATACATTAAAAGTTGTAATTTAAAATGATTTTCCATGTTTTCCCTGAGTGAATCTGGTTCAGGAAGTCAGCGTCTAAATATTTTAAATAAATGCATATATGAATGACATTTAGGATTTAAGGCTAGGAAGGTGGAAAGAAGGTAGCTCAAGCGGCCTCATAGACTACATGGATGAGATTGTACCAACGTGTGTGTGGACATGCATGCTGAAAAGTGGTGATCACATCTCCACAAGCACTGGAACACCGTATTGGTTAGAAATCTCCAACTATTTAAAAAAAAAAAAGGTAAACCCACTGGCCACCCAGGAAGGACAAGAAAAGCACCCACCTTGAGTGAACTGTAGAATTCATCCAGAACCAGGCTCATGGAGCGAGTCAGGTTACTGACATAGGTGGCTTCCTGATTAAGGGCATCCTGAAAAGCTTCAAAGTCTTGCATCCATTCCACAGCAAAGCTATGGTCAATGATGTCTGTCTGAAGCAAGACAGAAGAGAAGGCAAGATGGCTAGTCTCACCTCAGGGACAGAGCCTCTCTCCGCAGCTTGGCAGTAGCTGGCATTCCCACCTCATGCCCTGATAGCCCCAGGCGAGGACCACTGGCCCTGCTGCGCTGCCTGGCTCTCGGTTCTCCCTAGAGGTGTCAGGGCTGACTGACAGCTGACCCATCTTCTCACTCAAAGGCAGGCTAAATAGTTGGAAGCTTTTCGCTCAGCCAGGTTTGTGATATCCCCTGATTAAAAGAAAAAATTGGTGTCCAATTCAGATATCTGACTCTCCCCTGGAAACAAGCAAGTAAAAGAGTGCCCTTGACAAAAGGGAAGGAGGGAGACCAGACCGACTGCTGCCTAGCTCCCACACCTACACCCAAACTTCTCTTTGAGCAAACAACTTGCCCAAAAGGGTCCCAGAAAAGAACCACCCCCCTCAGCTCAGAGTGGGAGAAAGCAGGTCAGGCTGCCCAGCAACCCCTCCTGCGAACAGACCTGCACAGCCAGCCCTCCTGCCATCCAAGGGCCAGCACATTTTTCAGCCCCAACGCCTGCCTGGGCAATGCTCCTGCCCATCGAAGGTCAAGGCACTGGCAGGGAAAGCGGGAAACTGGCAACGCAGAAGCTAGGAGTCACTAGGAGAAGTTCAGTAGGGGGCCACAGTCCACAGTCCAAACTGAAGGACTCCTGGCAGGGGACTAGGCACCCTTAATGAGGACTGGAATGTTCCAAGGAATCTCGTGCCCTTGCCAGGAGGGCTTGAAACTGAACCCTGCTTGGAAGGGATGAGGAAAGGATCAATCAGAGATGTTGAGGGAAAGGTTAACAAGAAAGTTTAGGCTTGTATAGGAAGAGGAAGGAAAGTCAGATTACAAAGGAAGAACATCAGCAAGTAGCAAGGAAGTGCAGGGATGCTGTCAGGAAGGCTAAACAAGAGAGCCTTCTTCAAATACATCCAAAGTAAAAGACAGACAAAAGAGAAGGGAGTTCAAGTACTTCCTGTGGATGGAACAACAGGAACAGATGGCAAAGTAAAGGCAGAAGAACTGAGAAATACTCAGCACCTACTTTGGCTCAGTCTTCTCCCAAAGGAAGAACTACAGCCCTTCTGACAAAGGTGAAGTAGATGCTGAAGGGGCAGGATGGCAGCCCAGGCTGACGGGCAAATGGTCAAGGATCTTCTAATTGGGCTAAATGAGTTCACATCTCCAGGGTCCGATGAACTTCAACCCAGAGTCATAAAACAGTTAGAGAAAGAATTCTCAGAACCACTATCTTCTTTGAGAATTCATGAAAGACACAAGGAAGGCCAGATGACTGGAGAAGGGCTTCTGTTGTTCCTATCTACAAGAAAGGGAAAAAAAGATAAACCTGGGAACTACGGACTAATCAGTCTGGCATCAATCCCTGGAAAAATTCTAGAGCAAATTATAAAACAGTCTGCAAACACCTTGAAGACAATACAGTAATTCCTAGAAGCCAACACGGGCTCCTCAAGAACAAATCCTGGCAATTTCATTTCTGTACTTCCATCAGCTGGAATGGACAGGTCGGCGGAGCCTCCTCAAGCACTCCAGACAAGGGAAATGACCCACTTATATTGAGCACCTTTTTCCAGCAGCACAGCCGACAGAGATCAGGCGGCAAAGTGTACTGGGGAGAGCAGCCAACAAAGCATAAGCTCCAACTGCTGCTATGTGAGGACAGAAGGGCATTAGCAGGGCTGATAAGGGGTGGGTCCTAGGACGTAAGGGTGGTCACTCTTTGACCCATCCTAACAGGCCAAGAGGATGCCCACCCATTGAGAAGGCACTCAGGAGGGGCCAGGAAGAGGTCACTAAGGTGCTGCATATTAATTAAAACAGACAGGCCACCCACTGTTCACCTAGGCCTAGCAATTGGTGTCCTCCACCAGCAGGGGCTTGGTCCCAAGGGCCTTCCTGGCCCTTTCCAGCTCTACTCGTCTATGATTCTAAGACTTACATTTTTAGGAGCCAGAGACCCAGGCTTTAATTTGGGGAACAGGCAGCTACATTACCAAAATAGCAAAAGGCAGGCTAGAAAGTACAACCATTAGGTGGATCCACAACTGGCTGCAAAATTGGACGCAAAGAGTACTTATTAAAGGCATATTCTCAAACTGGGGAGAGGCGACAAGCCGGGGGGTCCAGGGTTGTGTCCTGGGGCCAGTACATTTTTAGTAATGATTTAGAAGAAGTGTGAGGAAAGATAATTGAATTTGCAGATGACAACAACAAAGCAGGGTGGAACAGCAAATACCCTGGAAGACAGAGATATGATACAGACTGATCTCGATAGGTTAGAATGCTGGGCAGAGAGCAGCAGAATGAAATCCAATAGGGACAAATGCCAAGACCTCTTCTTAGGAACAAGGAATCAAATCAGATGGAAATAGTTGACTCAACAATACTGAAAAAGAAGGCTCTTGGGGCTGCTGTAGATCACAAGCTGTGTGTGAGTCAACCATGTGATCCAGCTGCAAAAAGGGCAAACACTATTTTGGGATGCATTAACAGAAACATTGCTTCCAAAACATGTGAAGTACGAGCTCCCCTGCACTCGGCACTAGTCAGGCCTCACCTGGAGTGCTGCGTTCAGCTCTGGGCACCTAGAGATAAAGAAAAGCTAGAAAGGGTGCAGAGGAGGGCGGCAAGGATGATTCAGGGCCTGGAGGCAGAGCCCTAAGAGGAAAGACTGAGAACTGGGCATGTTCAGCCTCAGAAGACGACTGAGGTGAGAACTCTGCAAGCACCTGAAAGGCTGCCACAAAGGGGAAGGGCAAGATCTCTTCTCATTCATTCCAGAGTGCAGGACACTGAATAATGGATTCAAGTTAAAATAACCAGATTCAGACTAGACACCAAGAAGAATTTCCTCACTGCCAGAGCCATACAACAATGGACGCTATTAACTGGGAAGCTGTGGGCTCTCCCTTGCTGAATGCTCTAACTTAGTGTCCTGCAACAAGGGGTTGGACATGATGGCCTTCTTGTTGTTAGTGGCAAAGTCGTATCCGACCCATCATGACCCCATGGACAACATTCCTCCAGGCCTTCCTGTCCTCCATCCCCCGGAGGCCACCTAAGCTCAGCCCCACTGCCCCAGTAACTCCATCCAGCCACCTCATCCTCTGCTGTCCCCTTCTCCTTTTGCCATCTATTGTTCCCAGCATTAGGCTCTTCTCCAGGGACTCCTTCCTTCTCATTAGGTGGCCAAAGTATTTGAGCTTCAGCTTCAGTAGCTGGCCTTCTAAAGAGCAGTCAGGGTTGATCTCCTCTAGGACTGACCGGTTTGATCACCTTGCGGTCCAGGGGACTCGCAGGAGTCTCCTCCAGCACCACAATTCAAAGGCCTCAATTCTTCGGCGCTTCCTTATGGTCCAACTTTCACAGCCATATATTGCAACTGGGAAAACCATAACCTTGACTATATGCACTTTTGTTGGCAGGGTGATGTCTCTGCTTTTTAGTATGCTGTCTAGATTTGCTATAGCTTTCCTCCACAGGAGCGTCTTTTAATTTCTTGGCTGCAGTCCCCATCTGCGGTGATCTTGGAGCCCAGGAAAATAAAATCTGTCACTACTTCCATTTCTTCCCCATCTATTTGTCAGGAAGTGAGAGGACCGGATGCCATGATCTTAGTTTTCTTAATGTTGAGTTTCAAACCAACTTTTGCATTCTCCTCCTTCACCCGCATCAAGAGGCTCTTTAGTTCCTCTTCACTTTCTGCCATGAGAGTGGTATCATCTTTGAATCTGAGGTTGTTGATATTTCTCCAGGCAATTTTACTTCCAACTGGTGATTCATCTAGCCCCGCCTTTCTCACGATGTGCTCTGTATATAAGTTAAATAGGCAAGGCGACAGTGTACAGCCTTGCCAAACTCCTTTCTCAATTTTGAACCAATCAGTGGTTCCATGTCCAGTTCTCACTGTTGCTTCTTGACCCGCAAACAGGTTTCTCAAGAGACAAATAAGATGGTCTGGTACTCCCATCTCTTTAAGAACTTGCCACAATTTGTTGTGATCCACACAATCAAAGGCTTTAGCATAGTCAATGAAGCAGATGTTTTTCTGGAACTTCCTAGCTTTCTCCATGATCCAGCATAAGTTGGCAATTTGATCTCTAGTTCCTCTCCCTCTTTGAAATCCTGCCTGTACTTCTGGTAGTTCTCGGTCCACATACTGCTGGAGCCTAGCTTGTAGGATTTTGAGCATGTGAAATGAGTGCAATGGTGCAGTAGTTTGAACATTCTTTGGCATTGCCCTTCTTTGGGATCGGAATGCAAACTGACCTTTTCCAATCCTGTGGCCACTGTTGAGTTTTCCAGATTTGATGGCATATTGAGTGTAGCACTTTTACTGCATCGTCCTTTAAGATTTTGAATAGCTCAGCTGGAATACTGTCGCCTCCACTAGCTTTGTGATTCTATGTCCCAAAAGACAGGAAAGATTATCAGGAAGTTTGCTTGTTGATAATGTGAGTAACAACTCCCGAAAGCAAATGTAAATCTCTTTGTGTTACCAGGAATTAAACAAATTAACCAGCTGGGATAAGGAAAGTTGCCAAAACCAATTGTTGTCTTGCTCCTACATCCAAATGGTATTAACGGTTTAAATGGTGTTAATGGATTGTGAGCCGTCGCAAGGCTATGTAGCAAGGGGACGGCATATAAAAACTTTAAATAAATAAATAAACCATGCAAGAAATAAAGTTTCTTGTTGGCACTTATTTGTGGCAAGTTCTTTAATTTGAAAGGATCTCCTGGTTCAAGTCAGAGAGGAGGCTTCAGCCTCTCCCGGAACTAATTTTGGAAGTGCCAGGAGGGAGGCAAAGACCAGAGCTAAGAACTGAGCCAAGGACTCGTGGGACAAAGAAGGAAGCACAGCAACGGACGTGGCCGCTGCTATTTTGCAGGGAAACAGAGCAGAGCAAAGTGCGGCACTCACAGCCAATGCAACGAGTCTGGAAAACAAATGGAAAGGCCCTGAAGCCCCAGCACAGGAAGGCAAGCATGATCCAAGAGCGATCACCAAGGTGCAGTGGGCCAAAGTAATTGTCTCAGTGTACACACTGGAAGTGCATCTGCCAGCACCCAGCCAAGTGCCCAAGCACGGTCTTGTGACGTCTCCTCCTCCTCTTGCTGAGGCCTCTTTCCGCACAGCCTTCAATGGGCCCGGGGCCCAGGCCACATCCTCCTCTGCACAGAGCTCCCTGCATCTTTGCTTGCCGCCTTCCGCTGCTGCAGTGGCAAAGGCCAATGAGCACCACTCCTATGCCAGCACTCTCTGTCAGCACCTCAGTTTGTTTTCCAGGTGAACCCACCAGGTGTCCAATGGCAGCTCAGATGACCCTCCCCCCTCTGATTTTGTAGACGGCTTTTTAACAAGCAAGAAGAAAAATGGTGAGCATAGGAAAACACAGACAGAGGACGCAGGAAAAGGAGACTGAAACACACAACCTGGAAACGCGTTTTCACTTGGAATTAAAAATGGAACTTGGAAAAGGGTAAACACACCGGGATCAGAGATCAACTCACCTTGTTCATGGCCACAATAAATGGAAGCTTTGTTTTGTACAGGATACTAAAAAGAAGAGAGAAGGGTAAGGAAAGCCTCACACAGGAAAACCTACATCTCCCGAAGTCAGCAAATGACATGAACATCCAGATGCCACCATCCCACAATGGCCATTAGCTCCCGCAGCATAATTGCAGTCTTCAAATATATGAGAGGCTGTAGCGCAGAAGTTGGTGCACAACCATGCGCAGTTTCTGCCAGGCAGATGCTGGCCGAAGTTGTAGGAAAGCAGATTTCAGCCAGCCATCAGAAGAAAGGCCCTAAGCAAGAGCCCTTTAGCAGTGGAACAGTGGCCTGCTTTGGGTGTGGTGGGCGCCCCTTCCCCAGAAGTCATGAGGCAGAGGCTGGGTGGCCAGCTGCCAGCGCGACAGCCTGCCGTGCAGAGCCTGCACTGAGCTCAGGCAGGACTTGCTCAGCCATCCCCAACCTGGTACCCTCCAGTTCCAGCAGCCCCTACCAGCAAGACCCATACTCAGGGAAGATGAGCGCTTTGGTCCAAGCTTGAGGAGGGACCAGATGGACTCCCAAGGACTGCCCCAGCACCGGGACTGATTGCAGGGCACCAAATGCACCCGAGGACCGTGGGTGGCTCGGAACGGTTCGTCTGTGCGGAAAGGACTTCTGTCTGGCTTCTTGTACATTCCAAGAGCAAGGTGCTTATTTTGGCTATGTAGGTTTTGACAATCCTCTATAAGCTTGCCTATACCTTCTATTTACCTGTCAGGGTCTTTTCTGGTTTTCTCCTGTCTGCTGGGATGAAATCATGATCAGACAATTCTGTAAGCCTGGCACTGGAATATCTCATTTGCCAAGGCTTTTAACTCAGGATGCTTATATTTTTTGTGCTTATTTTCTATAAATCCTCTAGATTTATTGGAGTTTTATGTGGATTTATATTCCTGCCAATGTTACATTTTAGTTTTAATTGTCATACAATAGGGAAGTTCATTTTAATAAGCTACCAGAGACAGGTTTTTGGAGAGCCATAATATAGCTAATAAAATGGGTAACAAATGAATGCCACGTTGAGAATTCAGCTACTCTACGTAATTAAAAATGACTGAAAGAAAGCAATAGCTTCTCAGAAAGACAGGGAGAGAGGAAAAACAAACAGGCAAGCAGAGGTCTCTTACCTGCAGGCATACAGCATGTTGGACATGAAGGTGACAGGGCTGGTGCTGCGAGATGTGTCCATCACATAAACCACCACAGATGGGTAGCAGGATGCCTAAATGGGCGCATCCCAGAATAAGCATGAGGAAACCTGGGCTATCCTCCCCCAGGTGCCCTTCCCTATAGAAGCAGGCTGCGCAGACGGCACTCACCAGAGCTTCAGTGATGATGGTACCTGAGGCAGACCAGGTGAAAACCTCAATTTGTCCTGGGGTGTCAATCAGTACGTATCTGCAAGAGAAAGGACTTGCTCTGTCCCACACACAACAAACAGTGATGACAGGCGTTGCACAACCCCGCCACATGCTGAGCCTCCAAAATTAAATGTGGGCCACAGCCTGCAGAACACGAAGCTGGGTCCCATCATGGCTGTCTCTCCTTAGAAGAAAGCAAGTTCTTGCCCAGCCTCTTCCCTCATCAATCCAGTCACTGACATAGATATAGGATGGAAAATTGGCCAATGCTATGTTTTTCCTTGGAAAACTTCCCATTCCATATAGGTCGGTGCTTATCCACAGGTGGCTGGGCTGTTGTGCAGTAATGCATCAAGCTCAGTAAGTTTATGAACATCTATAAGTTATTATTGTAAAGCAAGTACTGACAATGCCTAGGGCTCAGTTACCTACAGGAGAACTGAAAACAAGATGTGACCACCTTTCCTGCACATGGTGCACTGGGGTCCTGGCTAAGTCGGAAGCAGCATTCTTATATACAGTGTATTTGCCTCTATTGTTAACACCGTTCAACACAAAGGTGAAGGAAAGTCACAACAAAGGCCGCAATGACTTGTTTCACGGGAGAAAACGGGACCAAATGTCCATCTAGCCAGCAGTCTCTCCACGCAGTGCTCAATCAATTGCCCATGCAATTCCGCAAGATGACCCGAGGGCAGCAGCGCCCTCCTGCCCAATTTCCTCAGCTTGTGCTCAGACCATCATCTACCCTTTAAAACAGAAACAGAGCGAGTCAGAAGGGGCCATCTAGTCTGACCCCACTGGATATTCTCAAGCTGACTTGGAACCAATTAACAGTGCGGTGTGACAGTGAAGCTGAAGGGAGCGATGCAAAGATTCAGCAGGGACCTGGCTTTCCTGCACTCACAGGATTTCTTTCCTATGCCCGTTCCTGGCTAGGAAGTAAGCCAGGCTGAAGTCAAGCCCGCAAATGCTCAGGAATCCCAGGCAGCCTTTTCCTTGTGCGGAAATGCCCTTGTGCAAAGCAGACAAAGTCACGCGTGTGGAAGCAGAACTCTGCTTGCACAGCAGGCACATGGATGGCGTGCACACAAGCTGGCCTCACTAACCGGACAGTCATCCGAGTGGGATGGTGACCTGCGGCGGCAGGGGCTTGGCCCTAATAACCTTTCTGGCCCCTTCCAACTCTACCGTTCTACGATTCTACGTATGCAGCAGCGGGACTTGCCTTCTGCCAGATGCAAGTCAAGCCCAGAGCAGAGAGAAAGCAGGGCTGAGTTCAGGCAACCAAGCTGGGAGAAAGTCTGACAGATTCCCACCCTCACTCCAGAATCCTCACATGGCACTTGCTGAAGGTGCTGCAATTACCTCTAACAAAAGAAAATTCAGCTTTGATATAGACATTGTCGGCTTTCCTTGGCTATATATCCTAAAAACATGTTATGTCAAGAGTAGCTTTTTTAACACAAGCTAACATCATAAGAAAATATATGCTAGTGCCTGTTCTGATGAAACGATTTCCATAATAAGCTTTCAATATGATTAAATACATCATGTATGCAATATCATATAGTACATTTATTTTCTCCCTAAACAAAAAATTTAACTCAAATATGTTGTAGCCATTGGAGTATGTCTGATTTATTTATGCTGCACTTAAAAATGACATTAAATTTTAGTTCGGGTAACTCAATAGGAAATATTTTATCAAGGTTCAATTTGGATGCCAGGAAGTGCTTCCTGACAGTTAGAACCCCAAAGGTATGAATGGGCTTCCACGAGAGGTCGTTGAGGTCCCATCGGTGCGGGTGTTCAAGGATAGGCTGGACGTGCACATGGTGGGCATGTCGTGAGTGAAGCCGGCTGGTGCCGGGGGTCAGACTAGATGGCCCAGGAGGTCCCTCCTGACTCGCTCTGTTTCTGTTTGTTTATGTGCTTACTCAAGTATAATGTATATTGGGGAATAAAAATGAGTAAAGCGTAGAATATTAGAGTTGGAAGAGACCAGAGAGCCATTGGGTCCAAGCCTTTGATCAGTATAGGACTCCAAGTCAAAGGATCCCAGCTGCATCTTGAATGTCTCAAGTGTAGAAGAGCCCACAGTCTCCTTAGGGAATTGGTTCCATTGTTGTGCTATTCTAATTATCAGGAAGTTCTTTCCCGGCTTCGTGAAACTAATATGCTAAATCAGATAACATTAGTAAGGGCATTGAAAAATGCTACTTCTCGACTTTTTCTGGAAAACCCATGTCATCAGACACTGACTAAGACTGCCAAAGAGTACTGTGCCTGCCTCAGGAGGTGGCTGCTTGAGAATCTGCTCTATCCCAGTAATTCATCAGTCCACCCAAGAGAAGACCCTAAGGTCTCCAAAATCCCACTGCAGGAAAGATGCTTGAGTCCATGGTGGTGGCTCAACTCCAGGGTTTCTGGAACATGACAATCATCTATCTCAATGTCATTCTGGTTTTCAGCATGATTTTGGAATGGGGATGGCATCATTCAGTCTTTGCAGATGCTCTATGAAAGGAACGAAACATTCTTATATCATATTTAGCATCTGATGGTCTGCTTCTTAGTCCAATTTACTTTACTGCTTTAAAGTCTTAAGGCCAGGCTTCAAAGGCTTAAAACAGGGTACCTGGAATACATGCACCCCTGCCCAGTCCCTGATATCACTGGGACAGGCCCACTGGCCCGCCAATAGCCTCACCTATCAGTATCTTGAGGTTCATTTGGCCGGAATACAGGACAGTTCCTTTGCTGGGCAAGGCTCTGAAATGCCATGCCCTGAAACTTCCTTTGTTCCCTGATCCCATTGGCCTGTTAGGGATTTGAACAGAAACTCTTATTTTGTCCTCAACTTTCAATTTGGGAGGTATTATCAGCTATTTTTTCCTATCATTTAGTTTGTGTTTCATGTTTGATATGCATCACTGAAATAAGGTAGCTCAGTACAAAGTGAAGTATATATGCACAATCCTAGCACCTGAATGCTCCCATCTTCCATCCCCACCCTAGAATAGTATCAAACTTTCTCAACAACTCACTGGGATGCAGTCTGTCGTTTTTCAATAAACTTCATCACCTGACAAGAATGAGAGAGAAAAAGATGGTTTAATATTAGAAATGATAGCTGGAGTTCGCAAAGCATCTGTTTTAACAAAGCCAGGGATCCACAGCTCTACAGAATTATGCTGGTACATTTAAACTTTTCAGTGGAAAAACATAGAAACCTGCAACAGCAATAGGATGAGCACACACCAAGCACACATCCCTAGACAATCAAAGAATATTCAGCAGCTACAAAGCCAAACGACACATAGCAAAGTGCAGGGAATTCAACTAAGCAATCATGTACCTGATCAAATCTTGTGGCAAAAAGATTGAGGGAGGTCACAATGCTACCATTTGGGCCTAGCCCATACCTGGAGTGTGTTCAGGAAAGGTTGGAATAGATCTTTCAGTAGTGCCTGAGTATTTCTTCCCAGCCCTTTCCCATAAGAGCAGGAAGCCATATTTAAGAACTACTTGAAAAGTTTCTCTTTAGAACAGGAGCAGTCCACTCAAAATAGCCAGACGGCTAGCATTGAAATACTGTGTATTCACTAAGACGTTTATCTCAACAACTGGTTCCAGCAAAGGCTCAAATGCTGCAACAAAAGCTGCACTTGTTGGGCTGCACTTGTACTGCCATGCAGTGTGCAGAAGTTACCAGTATAAATTATTTGGGCTCCACAAAAAAGTGTCATCAGCCTGAAGCAACTCTTCTAAAAATGGTCACAGCATTTCAAAATATTTAATTTAGAAAAACAACTATAAAGAGAAAGATGTTAGAATTCTATATAATGATTCACAGTGTGGAGAAAGTGGACAGTTTTTCTCCTTTAACCATAATATTAGAACTGAAAAATATCCAATAACACTGACTTGCAAAAGATGCCAGACAGACAAAAAGCAGCAGCTGTTCACACAACACACGGTGCAAATGCTGAGTCTGCTTTCACAGAATGTGGTGAAGGCTACCACTTTGGAAGGCTTTAAAAGGGGAGTAGACATAGGTTTATATCACTAGTTATGTCACGATAGCTGTACGTTACTTCCATTGTGCCTCTCAGTAGGAACTGATGTGGAACAACGGCAGGATAGAGCCAATGCCCTTATGTTCCACTCTATCTGCCTTGCCACCGTGAGAAACAGGATGCTAGATTAAAACAGCCTTTTGGTCTTTCCCAGTGGGGCTCTTCTGATGCTCTGCTGCCACTTCATGTCCAGACCATCACGCTGCACTCTCTTGTGGCTAAAGAAAGCCCAGGTGAGCACCAGGACAAAACAGAACATTTCTTATCCAAGGATGTTTTTGTCTAGACAGTAGAAAAGCCCAACAGACTCATCAGATTATGTTTCTGGCAATAAAGTAGTTAATATAACTTTTAAAAAGAGATAGACACTTTCTTCAGACCTGACAGTGATCAGAAACTCTTGGTTAACAGGATACCATTTAGAGTAGCATCTAGCACATGCCTGGCAATCAGGAACCAAAAGCAGTTGGTACTGGCTAGAGTTTCTGACTAGAGATAAAAGAAAAGTGTCCTTTGTGCCAATGATAACAACTTCCTCCTAAACTTTAAACAACAGGAAAGAAACAGGATAGTCAGCCATGAGTCAGAGCCCTTTCTAATGTCATTTGTAATTTATCCCACAAATGCGTTTGCTCCTCTATTCCCAGCCACTCCACAATCCCACCCCACCACCCATGATGGCCTTGTATGGTCAATATAGTTCTTCAAAAACAGCCCACTGAACCAAGGATACTGCTTCATGACTTCTTTGTACTTCACCGTGTCCCGAATATCTTGAAAAACAAAAAATGAAAAAAGAAGTTACTGTTTATCCCCATCCAGTCATCCAGCACCACTATCACAGCTATCATATAACAGCCTGGCTCAGAACAGATGTAGAGACATTATAATAAATAGGTCACTTCTCTTAGCAAAAACTGCCAGTTCGATGCCACATTCCATTCCCTTGGTCTTTCCATATGCTTCTTTATGCATTTCTGCGAATATCTCCTCAACCTTCCCTTCTATTTCACAAATACATTTAACTACTTTCATATCATCTGAACTCAAAAAGAAAAAGTCTAACATTTACCAACACCCCCTCAAGCTCAACAAGGGGAGTCCCAATCAAACCCCTGGAAACCACCAAGAAAGGGTCAAGCCATTGGAATATGGAATGGGGCCACCTCATCCCTCTTTTTCTACTACTGGAAAAGACACTTCGGCAACGCAATCAAACTAATCTCTTATTATTATTCATTCCATGTATGTGTCACTTTGCAACCAAAGCTTTCAGGGCAGCCTAAGCAATAAACGGTAAAATAAAACAAAGATAAAAAAGAAAACACATTACAGTATCAAGAAACGCAGGGCCCTTCCTTGCCTACAAACGAAGGAGGAATACGCCATCTCCAGCCCCCTGCTCCAGCACCGGAGGAGCCAAGTTCTTTTCCGTCAGTAGTCCTTTTCCTGAGCAAAGGCATGGCAACTTCGCCGTATCTGTTCCAGCTGCGGGAGGCTGGGGCAAAGGAGCCTCCGTCTGGCAGCGGTCGGACCCAACTCACCAATGTTGGCCGGGAAAGGCAGCTCGTGCACAGCCGGGTCCAGGTTGATGATGTACGGAGCAGCGTGCCGCCCATGCAGGTGCGCGGCGAGCCTCTGCAGGGGAAGCGGGGTGCGTCAGCGCGAGCACCGGGGGGCGCCCCTCGAGAGCGGGCTCGCGCAGCGTCCGGCGCCGGGCGGCACCGAGCCCTTCGGGCGCGCCCGGGGCAGCCCAGCGCCCCAGCGCCGCCGCTTACCTGCACGAGGGCGGTCTTGCCGGAGCCGGCCATGCCCAGCACCAGGACGCACACGGTCGACCCCGGGCCGGCACGGGCCTCGCCGCTCGCCGCCATCTTTCCGACGTTTGGCTCCCTTGCTTCCGCTTCCGGCGTGGAGGCGGCTTTCTCTTTCTCGGGGAGGCACGGACCGGCCGACCTAACTTCCGCCGGCAGCTACGGAGGTGTCGCGGCCTAGAGCAGCCTGGCGCTGCGGGAGACCCCGCCGCCTCCTGCCCGGAAATGCCCGGGGTGGGAGGGGGCGCTGGCTGCGGCGGCGGAAGTGACGGCTCTGCGGGCGCCGCCCTGGCCCTGGGCGGCCGGGAGGGGGCGGCAGAGGGGAGCTCGCGGGCGGGCCGGGCGCTGGGCGCTCCCTGCGCTTCCGGTGCTCTCCTGGCGCCCGCCCGGCGGGGGGCAGCCGGAGCCAGACGGGCCGTGGGGCCCGGAGGGAGGGCTGGGCTGGAGCCCGGAGCGGAGCTGCTCCGAAGCAAGGCACTCCGCAGTGCGCCGCCCGCCTTGCTCTGGATGCGGCCCCGTCTCGCTCGCCTCTTCCGCGGGGCCCGGCCGATGGATGCTGCAGCAGCTCCACGCCTCCCGAGGCCAGAGCTAAAGGCGAGCGATTCCTCGGCCACTCTTCCTCCTCCTCCGAGGCCCTAGCAAACTAATCTCCAGACCTCGGGCACCGCGCAGCCGTTTGCAGCCCAACCTGCTGACTGGAGATGAGGGGAATCAAGCCTACCCCAAGCAAAACTGCAGAGGTGGAGAAAGGTACAGGGTGGGCCCATGGGCAAAGGTACAGGCTGGGCCCCTGAAAGAGGCTGGCTCCTTTTATGGAGAAAGACTTCGGTGTACACTATTGGAATATGCGATCTCATTGCCTAAAACTTGAGAAAGCTGCAGCTTCCTACCGAAAGGGCCAACTCATGTGCAAGAATATCATGACCCCCATGTGATCACTGGCGTGTTCCATCAGTCTTCCTTCTGTGGAAGAGGTGTTCTCCTGCTTAATGTTGTAATCAAACTACAGAGTTAAATGATATTCTGGGAGGCAAAGACCCTATTAGTTCTCTATGGACCAGAAACCTTTGTCTGAAGTTATTTGCAGAGATACATGTTCCAATATGGATTCAACTAATTTTGAAGTTTGGAGTAAAAACATTTCCTTAAATTTTCCCAACAAATATCTCTTTTCTGCCATGATTATTTAAGTGCCAAGGTAAACTTTCATGTTGGTCAAACCAATTTGAGTTCTTACTTTTGCTATTTTTTTAGAAAGGTGGAAAGCATGAATTCTTTCCCAAGGGAGCTGGACAAGCCATTGTAAAATGTATGTGCTTCCTGCACTAATTTTATTCTCAGGGACTGCTCCTATGGGGTGGTGTTGGTTTCTGCATCTGTCTTTCCCGCTGCACTGTGGTTTCCCAGAACTGCTTTCTTCCTGCTCTGTCCTCAGCTGGAGACTCCCTCTCTAAGGCAAAGCACAGACTTCAGGAACAAGAGGATGGTGAAGACTCCAAGGAGCTTCCTAGGAAGAAGCAGAAATGTACTGGTGAGCACATTTTTTGATTCCATGGTTCACATGTGTCCTTGGTGCTCAGGCCTGGAGACCCTTTACCCAAACACACAGTAAAGTCTTTAATAAGGGGAGAATGTAGCTATATCTGCTTTGTTGTATTCTGTCCTATAAGCTCCCTCATTCCTACATAGCACTGTACCTCTGTAAACAGTTCTTCTTTTCTTGGTCCCATCTGAGGGTGGTTTCCCTTCATTTTTGGTTCCTGTTGGTGTCCCTTATAGACTGTTTACTAATGGAGTGCAAGGTTTCAGGTTGCAGAAGCAAGCTTTTACAGCTGTTTGTCTTTCTCTTAGGGAAACGGCAGCAAACAGAAAAACTGTCTCATCTTAAGTCTAAAAGCTGTTGTAGAAAGAAAAATCCATCTTCATATGAAGCAGGTAGGTCCACAAGTTGATTTGTAAAGTGTGCATAATTTTGTGCACTTTCATGATCCTCTTATTCTGTCACAAACACAAATCCCCAAAACTTTGCCCTTAAGGTAGGTACCATTCGGCTGCCCCTTTTTCATCGTGTTGCTGTTGTTGACAAGAAGCACCCAGTATTGTCTCCGCCAGGGATCACTCGCTGTTGTGTCGTTGCTGTCTTCTTTGGCAGGAAGCTTGGAAGAGCAGTGGCATATGGAGATCCTGGACAAGGGCCGTATCACCTGCCCAGTTTGCAGAGCTGTTGCACGGAAGACAGTGGAAGGACTGAAAAAGCACATGGCAAACTGCCGGCAGGTGAGAAGGCGGAAGCCCACTCTCTTTCCACTGGACCCTCAGAGTGGTTTAACTCAGCCCAAGATGACTTCACAAGAGTCTTACTTGATCTCACCAAATCGCTTAAGAACGGGAAATGATCCATGCTGGATCTGGCTGGGTCCAATAATTCCATGCACACAGTGGCCAACTGGCTCCCTGGACAAAATCCACAAGCACAATATCGTAGGACAGCACCCCAGAATCCTCAGCAATTAACGTACATAAGTGCACTGTATTTGATACAGGAGATAGTATATGAGGACAAGTAGCTATTGCTTGTCTTCTCCAAAGTGAGTTTGTCGTGCCCCCTATTAAAATTGCCCAAATTGGTGGCCATTGCTACCTCTTGTGGAAATAAATTCCATAGTTTAATTCTGCCCTGAAATCCTTTTATCCTGAATTTCTCACGAATCTGTTTCATGGGATGACTCCTTTGGGTTCAAGTATGGTAAGAGATGGAGAAAAACGTATCCCTAGGCACACGGTGCATCGTGCATCTTCTGTGCATTCCTGTCACAGCTCCCCTTGCTTGCCTTTCTTCGAAGGTGAACAATCCCAATAACTGTTCCTGGTCCATATGTGAACAGAATACTGGAGCAAAAGGACCTTGGTCTTAGCCAAAAGAGCTGCTCTTATATACCACTGTGTCTCCCTGCTCTCTCTCCTGAGAATCCTTCTCTTTTTTTACATTTGTATGAAGCTGCTTAAACCATATTGTCAGGCTGTGTACTGTTTCTTGACAATTGGATTAAGACTTTAGCAAGTCAATTTCCAAGGAGTTTCTGTTATGCATACGCAAGTCTTTGGGTGAGAGAGGAACTCTGAGAGGACAGGAGGAAGCCCACACATAGAGAGTCATTAAGAAGAAAGACCGAGTAGAAAAGACAACTTTGAAAAGTTCTGACAGCCTAAACCATGCAGATATGTCCCTGCCTTGTCTTCCTAGGAGAAGTTCACATGTCACCACTGTGGAAAACAGCTGCGGTCTCTGGCAGGAATCAAGTACCACGTCATGGCAGACCACAACAGCTTGGTAGGCTGGATGCGGCACCCTTTGCAGAAGGCCTTAGCTGGTTAGACTGCTTGCAACTGTAACATCTGTTAGAATCTGCTTTTAGCCCTGCAGTCGACTGGACTAGGTAGTCCTGGTGGCTTCCAGGACTCTTTAATATCTGTTCTTATACATTTCAACAAAACAATTGAAAAGATAGATACTTTCAGAGAGAGCACACAAATTTGAAAGTGACAAACCCATCCTCGACCCCTGCGGGTTGGGGTTGGGGTTAGGTCTGATCAAACAATGTTGCAATCTATTGGCTGTAACCATATGTAATTCTTTATATCTGCATTAACTTACAAAACAGGTTAATCATTAGTGCTGTAAGTGTGATCCTTGCCAGGTTTCAGAATCACCACAATATAAACATTGTTTAACTATGAAGAAAGTGTTCTGTGATTATAAAGCCAAAGCTTTGGAACTAAGAGGCTAAAAAATGTATTAAGTTTATTGAAATCCATCTGGACCTGCTGATTTTCCATTGTTCAGGCTGGAAATTTCTTTCTTAATTTGCTCTCTATATAACGAGCCATAAAAACCTGTCTTTGTGAGAACTATGCATGGAACATTAACATGAGGAAAACATTCTTATTTTGCTCTGCTGCTTTGCTGCCTGTGCTGTACAAATTAGAGTAAAACTTTAAAACTTGCAAGTGTATTTCTGTGGTAGAGATGTATAGCCTGTTGTTTTCAGCTTTATGGTGTTTCAGCACTTAAGATGATGTGCCAAAACCTTACTGGAATAGTCATAATTTTCCCGACATGCCTGTTGTAAAAAGGGCTGTTGTGGAAGGATTCATACTTATTTTTTTGCGGTTTCCGGTTAATTTGTGCAAATGAGGAAATGGGAAACTGTGTATAAGAAATGTAAACTTCTTATTAACTATTTGTTGTATTTTGTGTAGCAATGCACAATTTATATGAGGCTGAGGCAATAATTCAACCTCATATAAAATCTTTATTGCCCTTCATGGCGTTCACAATATCCCCATTAGTCCCTTTGTGGCAAGACCAGACATCTGAAAGCCTCGGTTTGTCTGTCTGTCCCCCAGCTTTGACTGGTCTGAGAGCCTCTAGGGAGACACCTCTTGTTTTAGCATCATTGGCTCCGGATATCCTGCAGTGAAAATCAAAGCTGCTGCTGATGGGTGCTGCCCTTTTAGGAAGCTGGAAGAAGGCACAGGCTTCCTTCCAGCCATGTCATCTTCCAGTAGTCTGCTGGCTGTCCTGATGTGCCTCTGTTTGTCTTGTCCTGATGAATAGACCCTTGGGTCCGTGACTTGCATGTCTTCTTGAGCTGAGACGCCTCTGATTGAGCCCTTCCCCTCCCTCCCTCTATGCAGCCAGTTGGAAAGGAGGCAGGCCAGCTGGGCGAGCCAAATGAGCGAGAGCGCTTGCGGAAAGTGCTGAAGCGCATGGGAAAGCTCAAGTGCACGAGGGAGGTAAGCTGTCATCAGCTGCTGAGGCGCTGGGTGCTCAGCTGCTGGGGTGGGGGTGGGGGTGCGGGGAACCCGCATATCTAGTAAGGGAGACTGGAGCCATTTTCCTTGCACGCTGGCTGCCTGCCTGCTGGCTCCTTCCTTATCCGGCTTCCCTTGTGGATGCATCCCTGGCTTTCTCCGCACAAAGAGCATCATGCCGCTGAGCAGGTAGCTGCCCCCCAGATCGCCAAGGGTTGGGTTGGGGGCCTCTCCTTTTCCTTGGGCTCAACCGTGAACCTGTGCTTTCCAGGGCTGTGCAGGCAACTTCACCAGCGTTGTGGGTTATCTCTACCACACGCAGAAGTGTGGGAAAGCAGCCGCTGAGCTGGAGAAGATGGCCCTGAAGTGCCCCCACTGCAGTAAAGCGTACCAGTCCAAGGCGGGCCTTGTGTACCACTTGAAATCTGAACACGGACAGGTAAGCAAGGCGCACCAACAGCCCTGCCGCTGCACCTCCCCGAAGGGTGCTGGCCTCGCCCGCCTTCCATTCTCAAGCAGCCCAGCCAGGTGTTCCAGTGGCGTCCCCACGAGCAGGACGATGTCCGTGGCAGCAGGCATGGTGCTTCTGCTGTGTTCTCCACGCCAGGCATCCTTTGGGGCACCTCTCAGTTATGGCTCCCCTTCTTTGATTTCCTTAAACAGAATTTGCCTGGGTCTTGTACCTTGTCCCCATAGGGGCTTTGCTGCAGCTGCTTAATTACACTGGTCATTCTCTGATGATAAAATATCCCTTTTTAGATGAAGAAAGCCAAACCATACACAGTGTTTGAAATGAGGCCTTCCTATATTTTTGTATAAGCTGTTACAATATTAGCATTTTATTCTCAGTTCCTTTTCTAGTTATTTATGATTTTATTTATTTATTTCATTTCTGTACTGCCTCATAGCCAGAGGCTTTCTGGGTGGTTTACAAAGTTAAAAAGCATGCAGACAATAAAACAATAAGACATCAAAGCCAATGCAGCAGCAGCAGCAGCATCCTGCAGCAACCAAATAAAGGTGGCTTGCGGCAACTTTGTAATGATAAAAACAATATTGAAAGTTACAATTATCTATTAAAATGTCTGGCAAATGAAAAGGGTCTCCCTGGCTCCCAAAGGAAGAAAATACGCTAAGTAAGGATCTTGTGTTTTTCACAGTAGCTGCGGACTAGATCTGCTTTTCCATCAAATGCCATCAAACATTTGATCAGCCACTTCTCCTTCCAAGGATAAAGCTGGAAGGAGTTCAGAGGAAGGCGACAAGGGTGATCTGGGACTGGAAGCAGCCCTTCAAGGAGAGAGTGAAATAACTGGACATGTTTAGCCTAGAGAGGAGAAGACTGAGGGGAGATAGGTGGGCACCCTACAAGTACTGGAAGGGCTGTCACAAAAAGGAAAGCCAGGATCTCTTCTCGGTCATCCCAGAGCACAGCGCATGGCATAATGGGCTCAAGTGGCAGGAAGCCAGACCTCAGCTGAGCATCAGGAGGCACCTCCTGGCTATGGCAATGGGAGCAGTGATCTCGGGTGGTTGTGGGTTCTCTCTCACCGGGGCATTCGAGGTGCAGCTGGACGGCCACCTGAGAGGGATGGTTCAGCTGGGAGTCCTGCACTGAGCAGGGGGTTGGGCCCTCTGGCCCCTTCCAAATTTACTACTCTGTGATTCGCCAGAATGACCCCCACTTTCTCCAAGATCAGCAATTTCCATGAGAGCAGTCACTCTGGGGCTGGGATGCTCAGTCTTCCGGCCTCTCTGCCTCTCTTAAGTGTGTGGCCTTGGCTGCCAGGGAGAGACAGGAACTCATGACAGCAAGCATGCGCCCGTGATTTCTGTCCAGCTCCAGCTGCCAGACTGGTGTTCGTGTGACATGCATGCTCCGCACGGGATAGCTCCCATCTCCCTGCATCACAGTTCCTTTTATTTTGCCGGCTCTGTTCACCTGGAAAGCTGGGCTGCATGCCAGCAGTGGCAGGCAGAGGCTGAGTGCCCCGGCTCTGCAGCTGGGTCTGCCTGGGTGCTCTGCTGCAGCACGGCCACAAGAGCACTGAATTTCTGCAGGATCTTCTGGCATTTCATTCCCTTTACTGTGCCTCCTTTTGGCTTCAGCTGATTTACAAGTTTAAAGGATGATTGGAGTGAATTAATTGGGTTGCTTTGATTACTGAGCCAGTGTTCTGGCCAGGAGGTGAACATCCCCTGCACCCATCCATCCCTCCTGTTCTCTCCCATTCTCTCTCTCTCTCTCGCTCTCTCTCTCTCACGCACACGCTCTCCATGCCCCAAGATCGAACCAATGAAGGCAGGGAGAACATTCAGCCACGGCACTTCTTCCTACCTGTGCTGGCTGCAAAGGGCTCTGGTAAGACCTTTGCTGCCTAAGGACAGTTTCCCTATTTCTGTGAGATCGGCACAGGCAGGCAGTGTCTGGAAAATGTCTCTGTTGCCCCTTCCTTCAGGCCACCTTCCTTCACGAAGAAGACCGGCTGCCAACTCATGTAAAGGACGCGAACACAGAGCCACGTGGTGATGCAGCAGCGGAAGGAGGCCGAATTCAGCGGAGGTCTGCCAAGGTGGCTGCTTACCACCTGCATGAGTTGGCCAATGAAGAGCTGGTCAAGGAGTGGCCCAAAAGGAAGGTCCTGCAGGATCTTGTTCCTGACGACCGGAAGGTGCGAGGAGGGGATGACTTGCGGGCGCGTTTAGAAAGGGATGCATCCTGCACCTGCTTGGGTTGTAAGCAGTGCTCTCACGAACCCAGATGTTGTGGCTGCTGGAAAGCAGAGCGCCAGGCCATAGGCGGAACATAGCTGGATGGCTCCGTGGGAACGCTGTGGCTTCCGGCCAGTGGAGAGGAGCTGCACTCCTTCCCTGGCTACCTGCTTTGCCCGCTGCATGGCCGTAGTAGCTTTTGATGCTCAGAGGCAGCTGCCATTCCTGCCACTTTCAGAGCAGTGAATTTGCTATTCTCTGCGGGGGGAGGACGCCCCTGCCCCTCTTCTCTAGGTCTGACGTAGCATCCTGCACGCAGACCCTCCCTGCCACCAAGTGCTCCCTGCTTTGTGCAGTCAGGGTGGAACCCATTCATTTGTCCTCTTTTCAAGAGCTGCCCAGATGGTCTCCATCTGGTTTTTTATGAATGTGAAATGTTTCAGTACCTCTTTCCTGGGCAAGCAAGTCAAGGAAATGTACAAAAAAATCAGCCGACATGAATCACAGACCAATTAAAGCAGTAAAATGTTAAAAAGAGCAGCACCTCTGCTCTCTCCTGGGTGGGCTAAAGAGCCTTTCCTGGAATCCGGCCACCCCCTGGAGCCTTCTCTTTACATGGAGGAATCTGAGGGCTCATTCTGAACCAGCTGCTACATTCGTTGGGCTTGGAGCGTGTCCTTGTGACTGGGCAGGCCAGCCAGTGCTGAGGAAGGACTGTTCCCCCGAGATCACGTGTGGCTGTTGGCCGCGGCTTCACCGTGCGGTTCTGCTCTCCTTTCTCAGCTGAAGTACACTCGGCCCAGGCAGCCCACTGTCAGCCCCGAGGTGCTGTGCAGGTGGAAGTCGGAGATAAAGATGTGCAGACGAGTTCACTGCCCCAACCAGGTAATCCTAGAAGGCCTGGGGATGCCAGACCCTAAAGGGTGGGGGTGGGGGCGGGCTGTGCCTGGCCTGCACTCAGAGCCAGCTTTCCCTTTTGGGGTTCCCTACAGTTGCTGAGCAGCTTTCTCCCTTTCCCAAATTAGGGTGCAGGGTCTTCACGGAAGCTTTGAAAGGGGCTTGGGGGTGGACCTGCTGTGGTCTCTTTCTCACAGTTCCAGCCCAACTTTGCCCTCACTCAAAACTGTTCCGGAGGTGCCATACCTTTGCTTCAGCTTCTTCTGCAGGGAGAAAGGAGAGTCCCTGGCAGGTGCAGGTGCTCCTGCTTCAACCCTCTGCAGGACCAGCTGCTCACCCGCTAGTCACCGTTCCCTTTTCTGCCTCTCCAGGGCTGTGAGGGTGTCTACAGCAGCATCTCGGGCCTCAAGTCACACCTAGGCAGTTGCACTGCGGTAGGTACTGCTCTGAGGGGGGAGTCTTGGTGGGCCTTTGGCTTCCTGCTTTCACCAAGCAGGGCTGGAGGAGGCAGGCCTAGCTTTGCTGCCGCCACTGGCATTTCTGGACTTAAAAGCTGTCCCTGCAAAGGGCGAGACTCCAGGCAGAGCAGTTTGTTGTCATCAAGAACACATGCCGATTCTGTTGACTCCTTTCCCCTCTCCTCCCTGGGCTGCAGGGTGAGTTTGTGGCTGGGAAGTACCAGTGCCTGCTTTGTGCGAAGGAGTTTGTGTCCGAGAGTGGGGTCAAGTACCACATCAACACCGTACATGCAGAGGTAAGGAGCGGGCCCGGGGGAAGGCGCACTTTCCCAGTGCGCCTTCCTGTCCTGCTGTGCGGGGGGGGGGGGGCAGGGCCGAGCGCCGGCCTTTTTGCCTGAGGCGCAGGCCATGGCAGTTGCTGGGACGGCCTGTGCTGGGGTGCCCCCTCGTGCTCTCACAGTGGTGCTGCATCACTTTCCCTCAGGACTGGTTTGATGTTAGCGTGCATAGCACCAAGAGCTTTGAGAAGCTGGTGAAGCTGCAGCAGGTGGAAGCAGAGCCCAAACGGCAGCGCAAGAAACGCCTCTCCAGCCGGAGCCGCAAGAGGAGGCCAAGGCTGGTCTCTCCGAAGAAGGCGCCCAGGCTGGGGCTGGAGCACAGCCGGAGGCAGGCAGCCAAGGTGGCCCGGCCCCAGCCGCCAGACTGCGAAAGCAGGAGCAGTGAAGAGGAGGGGGCCCCCACTCTGAAGCTCGGTCACAGGCGAGTGAAGAAGTAGCAGCCCTGTGTAGCCGCCGCCACCTCCCCATTCCCATGGGGCAGGGTGTAACTTCCTTCTGGGGGGTCCAGGAAGGGTGTTTGGCAGAGGGAAGGGGGCTCTGAAGCCGGCCCTTCGCTCCCACGCGGCCAGTGCCTCCCTGCTCCCCAGGTGTCGGTGCCTCCATTCTCTGATCCAGGGGGAGCTCTGTTCCCACTGATCTGGATGGCAGCCTCGCTTCTGAGCAGGCGTGCATTGGACCACTCTGTAAGTGGCCCGGCCTGTGACCCCGTGCACAGTTGCTCCGATGTGAGGGCTGCTGAGCTCCGTGGGGCACAGGGGCTCGCACTGGCGGGCTCCCTGGCTCTCCACCTGCAGCTCGCCCGCTGAGGTCCTTGTACGAGGCAGCGGAGGTGGGCGTTTCTTTAGGAGCAGCCCCTCCACGCCTCCCTGCAGGGCGGAGCAGCAGCTGTGGTCAGGTCTCCCTTGGGTCACAGGCAGTGGGGAAGTGGAGCGAGAGAAGAGGAGGTGCCTCCCCCCCGCCATTGTGTCTTGACATGGGTTGGGCTTCACGTGGAAGCCCCGCAGGCTTTAGAAGAGGGTGGCGGCAGCGGCACGTGGCTGGGCAGGCTCCCACCAAGGAAGATCCTCCTGCACCACGCAGCTGAAGCATCCACCCACCCGGCAATGACGAGGCTCCCATCGCCCGTCACACGTCTTTCTGTAGCGGAAATGTGTCCATCGTGTGTTGCAATAATGAGGTGCAGACAAAGCAGTCTCCTGGTGAACTCAATATATTCCCATTTGTTTTATTCTTAGCCATTGTCAACATGTTGGTGTCCATGATAATGGGGCAATCAAAGAACTGGAAGCAGAACCCCAGAAGGAGAGATTGAAGGAACTGGGCATGTTTATCCTCAAAAAGAGGGTGGAGGGGAGATACGATAGCACTCTTCCAGTTCTTGAAATGCTGTCACAAAGAAGAGGGCCAGGATCCGTGCTCAATCACCCCAAGTACAAAATACAGGATAGTGTTACAGAAAGCCAGGATCTGGCCGAACAGCAGGAAGCATTTCCTGACTGTCAGAACAGTGCAGCAGTGGAACCAGTGGCTTGGGGAAGCCATGCGCTCCCCCTCACTAGAGGCATTCAAGGCACAGCATGATGGCCACCTGAGAGGGATGGTTGAACTTGGAGTCTTGCACCTGAGCAGGTGGTTGGACCCAGTGGCCCCCCGGCCCCTTCCAACTCTACCACGCTGTCATTCACCTGGGAATATCCCTCGTGTTGTCAGCAACCCTGGCCACCCCTCTGCTTACCCGAAGATAACTGAAGAACAGGTGAAGAAGCAACAGCTGTAATTCAGACCCTTTGGGTAGACCGGGGACTCGCAGTTTTTGTCACGGGTCATAAAAGCAGCAGTCTTTGGAATGAATGCCCTCTGAAACGTCGTGTCCTTCCATTGTGAGAAATGACTATGAAGTCCTACTCTGTTCTCTGTCCACATGGAAGCACAGCGAGTTGGAAGGGGACTCCCGGGGCATCTAGCCTGACCCCTAGTTCCAGTCAGCTCCACTCACGACATGCCCACCATGTGCACGTCCAGCCTCTCCTTGAACACCTCACTGATGGGACCTCATCCACCTCCCATGGAAGCCCATTCCATGCCCTCAGGGTTCTGACTGTCAGGAAGTGCTTCCTGGCATCCACCTTGAAACCTGGTTTCCAGAGCTTTGCTCCCCGGAATATGTCCTGTCCACCACCATTGGGGAAAACAGGTCTCGACCCACCTCCGTGTGACACCCCCTCATGTACCTGTATATCGTCCATAGGTCCCCTTGGAGTCGAATCTCCTCCAGGCTGAAAAGACTCAGTTCCCTCAGTTTCATCCTCGGTCCTGTATTATTTTTTATTTATTGCGCTTATATACTGCCCAATGACCCAAAGGGCTTTCTGGGTGCTTTACAAGTGTGAAAACATACAAGCAACCAAGAGCAGTAATTGCACGTGAGCTGCTTTTATCTTTGCTGCTTCCATGAGAACTGAGCTTGTCCTAGAAGCTTTAAAGCTTAACTGCATGCAAGGCAAGCACTGCTTACAAGGGGTTTGCTGTGCCTGTTTGTGGCCGTTGTCGAGTCTTCAGCGAGCTCTGCAGCCCATCCAGATATCCGGCTACAGCTCTTTGAGCAACACCATTTCACAGACAGAACAACACGTCCTGCACCCACCTCCTCCTGCTGTGCCCAATCACTACAAACTGCTTACACCTGGCTTTCACCACAGTTTAGTCAAGTGTTCCTCCAGGTCATCGATGAACAGATTGACAGCCCTGGAGGACCCCACTCGTCACCTGCCACCATCCCGAAGATTCCCCACTAATAGTTTCCCTTCCTTCCTGCTTGGCTATCCAGTGTGTTTCCACCCCTCTACCAAGAGTATAATCTGGCACCCCATCATTTAAGCCTGCTAAGAAGCGCAGCTGGAGGGCCCTTCCAAGCTGGAGTGTTGCAAGTGACACCTCCCTGCACAGATGAGGGGCTGAGCAGGCAAGCTTGTCCCCCAAAATGCGTGGGATTCCCAGTACCTCCCAGGCGGCAGAGGCACACAGATAAGCCTTACAGCAAATGGCTCCTTGCATTTCACTTGTGTGAGAAACTGCTGCACCAGCGGTGGGATCTACTTGGGAGGGTGAGGGAGTCAGCGGCCTGGTCTGCGCTGCTGCAAATCAGAATAAGGCTGCGGCTCCACCCTGAGGCCTGTGTCATGTTGCATCATTTGATGGCTGTAAAAATCCCAGCAGGGACTTCCTCATCTGTTGCTGGCAGCGGCCGCTGCGGAAGAGCCCTCGCCGAAAGATTGGCTGCAGTGCACGGAACAGGCTCTCGCAGCCCTCGGGGGCCGAAGGCCTCTGCATGCTTCAGGAGACCACTCCTCCGCCTCTGCCCAGAGGTCTAGTGTCTAATTTGGTTGTACATGACGGCAGATACTTGAATACAAAATACATGCTTTCAGCCACGAAGGACGTCAGCATGTCTGAATGAAGCTTCTCATTTTAAAATCCCCCATGCACTCCTCACCCCCTGCAAGTTGTGGATTGTATTTCAAAGGGGAAATGGGGCAGGTGACAGGACTTGCCTGTGGAGCTGTTGTCCTCCTATGTGGCAGCACTGCAGCTTTATGGACAGGCGGGCGAGGTGCTTCCTCCATGAGGCAGTGACCTTGGATATGCAGCAAGCCTGGGAAGGGGCAAGGACCCCTTTCTCCCTTTCAAGCCTTCCCTAAAAATGCAAGTACAGCCCTGTGGGATCGGGCCAGCCCAGCACTCCGTTCACACAGTGGCAGACCCATTGTCTGCAGGATCTCCCAAGCCACCTGCCCCAGCTCCTCAGTGGCTGAAGGTGTAGGCGTGTAGCCTCTGGGAATGGAGGTAGCCCACAGGCAGCAAGGCTAGTAGCCACTGAGAGCCTCCCTCCACACCTGACCATCCCTTTTTAAAGCCATCCCGATTAGTGGCCTTCGCCACTTCCTGTAGCAGTGACTGCCACCGTTTAATTATGTTGCACGTAGCAGAAGTACTTGCATTTATCTGTTCTAAACCTCCCACCAATTAATGTCATGGGGTGGCCCCGGGTTCTATTATTATGGGACATGGAGAATAATATCTCCTCCCCTTTCTTCATAATTTTAAATACCTCCTTCATGTCACTCTCCATTTTATTAAGCTTCTGTACCGCCTGAAGTGCCTGATCCCGGCAGTGAAGCAAGGCTGGGCCTGGTTGAAATTTGGGTGGGTGACTCAGTGTTGAAAACTGCCCAGAGAGCTTTGGCTAGTAGCATAATTTATAACACGAACACTAAGCTAAATACTCAATTGCCCCTTTCAGCACTTTTCCACTCGCTGTTCTTTTTCAGGTACAGCAACTGGAACCGTACACAACTCTCTGAGTGCAGATCTGCATAAGGGAGACTGCAATCTTGGCAGTTCTGTTTTCTGTTTCATTCCTAATTACATTACAGTCTGTTTTCTATTTCATTCCTAATTGCACCAAGTTTGCTATTTCACAGCAGCTCTGCACTGGGCCAACAATTTCATGGCGCTGTCGCCCACCACCTCGAGATCCCTTTCTTTTTCAGTCACTGCTGCTCAGGCTCTATCGGCCTATGCCTGAAATTGGGATCTTCCCCCCAATGTGCGTTACTTTACTTTAGACATGCACATGGTGGGCATGTCATGAGCGGAGCTGGCTGGAGCCAGGGGTCAGGCTAGATGGCCCGGGAGGCCCCTCCTGACTCGCCCTGTTTCTGTGTTTCTACAATTGTTTACACTGAACACATTTGCCATTTGAGCCCATTCTCTCAGTCTGGAGGGATCCCTTTGCAGTTCCTCACATTCCCTTTTGGTTTTAACCACACTAGATGGTTTTGTGTCAGTAAACTTGGCCTGTTCACTGCTTACTCCTACTTCCAGGTCATTTATGCATGGGCTGAAAAGCTTTTGAGTTAAGCTCAGTGGCCTTACAGGCCTCTTTCAACTCTACCGTTCAACTCCTGAATACACCTGCCCAGACCCTAAGATAATTTATGGAGGTCCTTCTCTGGGAGTCACCTTTAAAAGAAGAAAGGGAGGTGACCACAAGGAAAAGAGCCTTTTTGGCTGTGGTGTCCTGGCGGTGGAACCAGCTTCCCAGGAAGGCACACCTAATGCCAACCTTGTATACATTTCAGCAGCAGGTTAAACCCATTTATTTTCCTGTCATTTTAATTCTTTTATTTGGTTGAATAAAAGGTTCAGTTTTTATTCATGCCACAATTGGCTGTTGCAGATTAGTTGTTTATGTGTGGTGTTATATTATTATTACTTGTAATTATATTTGAATTATTATGGATAGCCTTATCGTTCCGTGTTTTACACCATTTTAAATGTTTGTACACCATTATGAGAGTGTCTGCTAAAGGATGGTATAGAAATAAACAAACAAACAAATACCATTCTATGATTCTGGTGCAGAAACCTGTGGGACCCCACTTTCCCAGTATCCTTTGTGCCCACCCCCCATGTCTTCTGGTCCTCCAGGGAAGCTCTTCTCTGTGTACTTCCCTTCCTTGAGGAAGTAAACTGCGTCTGACAACAGTAGCAAAGGCACATTTGTGGCATCATCAATGCTGTCCTTATGGCACAGGGTTAAAATGTTATTTGCCCAGATGTATTAATACAAACTTGTCTCTCTTTGCAGTCATTCAATGTTACTAAGGTTATGCTTCTGTTCTATTGTTTTATTATTATGCTGTTTTGTGTGACTCATTCTGGACATGCTCTTGAATCCAGCCCTGGTGAAGGACGAAGACTGGCCTAACATTTTTAAGTGAAGAACTATGAGCCGCCTTCCCTCACAAAGGGGCCAAGGAGAGAAGGCAGAGGCGGTGGCGACAGAACACCGCAGCTGCTGCTGCTGCTACTGGGGAACTGCAGTCCAGAACCCGATGGGAAATCAGTGGTGCTTCAAATGTCAAATGTCGATCTGGCCACTCCCTTCTCCTGCCCGGGAAAGTCTGGGGTGGAAGGTAGCAGAGGCAGCTGCTTCCAGGCACTGCAGGCATTTTTAAAGTAGTCTCATGAAGCATGTGGAGAAGCGTTTCTGGCGCGGTGAGGGAGTCGCTCATTTTATGCAGAAGGCAGAAATGTGCTGCCATCCCTAGATGAAACCCTCCAGGGCCCCACAGACAGCTCAAGGAGCCCTCGGCGCTGCTACGCTCTGGGGACTCTGCTGAGTCAGTGCCGGGAGCCATGAGCCGAGCTTCTCCCCCAAGCCAGCATTTCTTTGCTCGTCGGTCTTTATTGCTGCATGTGGGTCTCAGAGCGTACACAAAGTGGGGTGCCTGAACCCCTTCTATCGCTCCTTTCCCGACGCCCACCGCAGCCCCGGCTGCACCGCCGGGCTTCTGCTGAGGCTTCCCTCGAAGGATGAGCGCCAGCGCCCGGGTCCGCCGCTCCAGTTCTGCATCAGCGAGCCGCCGCAGGCCGACGCCGCCTCCCTCGGGCCGCGATTCCGCCATGCGGGCCGAGGCGGCGGCGCTCCGTCTGTCCTGGAGCTGCACTTCCCGCAGCGAATTCCTGTTGCGTCTCAGCACCTTGAAGCACGGCTGGAGCTCCCAAAGGAGCCTCATCGTCGGAAGCCGAGCGCCAGCGCGGCCCGCAGGAACGCGCCCGCAGGTGACTGGCTGCGCACGCACGACGGCCGCGCGCAAACGCCCCGCAGAGGCCCGGCGCGGCCAGCACCCGCCTGCGTTGGCCGGCCGGGAAGCGCGAGGGGGAGCGGCGCGGCTCCCGTCCGCCGGAGCGAGCAGGGCGCCAGTGCCCCCGCGGCGCCCTCCCGCCCGCTGCCGCTCAGCGGCGCTGGCGCAGGCCGGCCAGGTCGCGCAGGAGGGCGTGCTCCCGGTGCAGCCGCCGCAGCCGCTCCTGCAGCCGCTGCCGGTGCGCCCGCAGCTGCGCCGCGCGCTGCACAAGGCCGCGCAGCTCCTGCCGCAGCGCCTGGCCCTGCTGCCGGGCGGCCTGGCTGTGCTCCCGCAGGCAGCGAGCGGCGGCCGC